TTCAAACTGAAATATCCATCTTATTCCTTTCTCAGAAAAGTGGATCTTTGGCGTACCGGTTCTTGGAAAGAAACGGATTCTCTCGAACAAACGAATAGACAGAGCAGGAAGCGCGTTTATATTTTAAGCCGCTGATTATGATACATAAGGGCGGATTTAATTCGGTTTTCGGGAGCTACCTGTGTTACGTGTAAAGAAGGAGAACAAAGAAGCGTTTCTTACGTAGAAAGAGTGGGAGATGATGGGGAGAAAACAGGAAAGATCGCCTGGACGAAGATAGCCGCGGCACAAAGACGTCTCTTTGCTACCCCACTGAGCACGATATCAGCATCTTCCTCTCTTTCTCTCTCTCTCTCTCCCCTTTTTGCCTGTTTGGCCTGTTATTTTCGCCTACGTCAAGAGCGAAGGAAGGAAGAGTATATGAGAGATGGAGAGAAGAAGGCCTTACAGAAGATAGAGCTGAGAGCAGGATCGGATTTAGGGTAAGCGAGTTGTTTTCAGAAAATTATCCCATCTTTCTCTGCACGAGACGTCGTTCGCAAAACGTATAATTTACACACGAAAAATATTGAGATATGTAAATATCGAGTAAGGAACTTTGTCAAACTGTCGGCGTCGTGAGGAAAGCTGCGTGTTCTTTCGGTATCTACGTTATTTCCATAAATTTCACGAAAATAGGATCTGTTGCGTCTAATATTTGGTCGAAAACATTCTTTGCTCCGAAAAAAAAATTAATTGTATTATGCATTCAGAATACCGGTAACGAACGAAGAGTAAAAACATGAATAAAATAAAATGTTGAAGAAAATTACTCCGATAAATTATTGTACAATATATACGCGCTTACATTTTTTCATATATTTTGTTATTATCTGCTTTTTCGAGAGAGCCATTGCGATAAATCCAACACACATTTATTTATTTCTAGTAAAACTATCCAAATCTCGAGCATGCCAAGATTTTGACATCTGCAAATCCGACTCTGGCCAAAAGAGAGAAAGAGAGGACAACATAGGGCAGAAAAGAGAAAAAGAAAAATCGGATACGAGGGGCGAGAGGCAGCACGAGGGGGTTGGAGTGAAAGAGAAAAAGAAGAATCGTGTTGGGGAGGAGTCGCAAAGCGGCAAGGGAGCGAAAGACGAGTCGGGCGAGAGAGAGAGAGAGAGAGAGAGAGAGAGAGGAAAGAGAACCGGAGTTGCGGAAGAGAGGGAGCCTGCGAGAAGGATAAGAGAAAGGAGAGAAATTGAAACGAGCGCAAAGAAGAAAAAAGATATATAAGAGCAACGAGAAGCAAAAGAAAAACATCGCAAAGTCGAAACGGTAGTCGTTCGTTGAGACGATCCTGCTAAACAGGTAGATCGATATTGACACTTCAACCTATATTTTCTGGTCAGTCGAGTATAACGTCAAGTACGTCTTTTTGTTTGCACATTTTTGCATATTTGGCAAACATACATCAGATATAATAATATATGTTTATCATGCAATTTTTTTTATTTAGGAATATATTTCGTTTTTTAATAATCAGACTTTTATTGTTAGATTGTATTTCGCCCATGCAGTCTCTCGTAGTTTCCCCAATTTCTATACGTGCAATATATTTAAATTGTATTTGATATTTTATATAGAGAAGTATATATATATAATGTACATATTAATTTAAATCTGAATAAAAAGTTTGTTAAACTGTAGTTAAAATCGAGAACTTGTACGAATGTGCAAGTTGACAGCGATACAACTGTTTATAAAATTAGTAGCAACAATAAAGAGCACTACACAAAATAATAGACTGCAGAATAAAAGAAAGACTAGAAAGAACAACCTTTGGTACGTACTCGAATATTCGACTGTAAACACACGCATGTTTCGAAAATCATCCAAAATTATGATGTGAACTGCGTTAAAACGTAATAGAAATTAAATTAAAATACAAAATACCGACAATTTTTTGATATAAAACACTATGAGCAAAAGTATTGCTCGAGAACACAGATGACTTTTTGCGAGAATTTGTTCGAAAAAGACAATTTCAATAAACTAAATCGTATAGTTGTCAAAATTATATAGGTACACATATTACATATACGAAAAAATTGGTAAGTATCGTTTTATGTAATTTTGATTATACTATTTCTATTTCTATAATACGTGCTCAATGTTTATATAGTATACGAAGAGATTTATACAATATAGATATATATTTTAAATTGTGTCCATAATTGTTTTCTATAATCAGAATTTGATTTTGACAGAGATACCCCAAGTAACACAGTCTGGCTATATTCGCTGCAACAGCAAAAATGTAGCTAGTAAAACGTTCTGCCAGCCTTAATTACATCTATTTGGCTGCAAATGCTATTTTGCTGGATTTTTAACTGTAAAAGCGCTGCGATAGTTAATAAAAGAATCAAAATACAGCCACAGCAATTTTAGCTATATTTATAGCTGTAAAATCATTGTGACTGCTATCGGAAAATCCAAAATGCAGCCACAGTAATTTGAGCTGTATTTATAGCTGTAAAGTCGTTGTGACAGCGATATGAAAATCCAAAATGCAGCTACAGCAATTTTAGCTGTATTTATAGCTGTAAAGTCGCTGTGACAACGATCCGAAAATCCAAAATACAGCCACAGCAATTTGAGCTGTATTTATAGCTGTAAAGTCGTTGTGACAGCGATCTGAAAATCCAAAATGCAGCCACAGCAATTTTAGCTATATTTATAGCTGTAAAGTCGCTGTGACAACGATCCGAAAATCCAAAATGCAGCCACAGCGATTTTAGCTGTATTTATAGCTGTAAAGTCGTTGTGACAGCGATCTGAAAATCCAATATGCAGCCACAGCAATTTTAGCTGTATTTATAGCTGTAAAGTCGCTGTGACAACGATCCGAAAATCCAAAATGCAGCCACAGCGATTTTAGCTGTATTTATAGCTGTAAAGTCGTTGTGACAGCGATCTGAAAATCCAAAATGCAGTCACAGCAATTTTAACTGTATTTATAGCTGTAATCTGGCTATAATTTGTATGTTATAGCAAAGAGTAACATGACTTTCAATTTTATGTTAAATTTAGTATGTATCAGCGATGGTTAGCGGACCCATGCGTTCACTTATTGCGAATCTAAACTTATTACTTAAGGATAGTATATAATTCTGTAATCACAGTATTTGTATGAATTTGTGTCCGCATTACTAGTATACTTATATGTAAGTTATAAATTGTAATTATTTGCAATAATTAATTAATTTTTTTTAATCTAAGCTTTTGAAGCAAAGGTTTCGGGTTGTCATAAGTTCAATCCCAGTTAAAGCAAAAAAAAAATTTTTAATATTTTTTTAACCTTTTTACGGAATGTTAAAATTAAAATTTAACTTTTATTGAATATTAATTATCCATTATTTGTATTGCTTGAATATTAATTATCCGTTATTTGTATTGCTTACTCCGATTGCTGTAATGTAGCTATGACAACGTCTTTACATCAAAATAGCTGTGCAACCGTATGACTGTGACAATGTCTTTACAGCAAAATAGCTGTGCAACCATATGACTGTGATGACGTCTTTACAGCAAAATAGCTGTGCAACCATATAGCTGTGACATCATTTTCAAAGCTTAAAAATGTTGTCCCACTTTTGCTGTTACAACTTTCTCAAAACGTCATAATGATGTTGTCGCAGTAGCTGTGGTAGACAAAAATGCTGCAGTTTAAGCTACGACAACGTTATCGCAGACGTTTTAAAGCTTCATGTGTTACTTGGGACATCTGTATATAAGAATTGTTTGTTTTGCGGGTGAAATAGACTGTATATAGATAAAAAACATTGGAGAGGTCTTATACATTGAGATTTATTCTCTTTTTCTCTTTTTGTACATATATAAATATATAGCACGAATCTCGTAAAAAAATTAAATTTGGTTAATATCTTATTTTTCGTAACACAAAATATACAAGAACTATTTTTTCTCCTCGATATTTCGTCCGTGTAAAGGGAGAAAGTATATTGCAGCAAGGGATATAATGCCTTCCCTACGATTAGGGTGCCGAAATATATCTAGGCCCCGCTGTGATCGACGTACAGAAAATGACAGGGACGAAGGGGAGCGAGATGGTAGGGAACGAGTGTGGTAGAAACACAGTCGTGGAACAGTCCATCGCACGAGCAACAAAGATGCATGTACGTGATCGCGACACGCGCAACGAGGACGCCGCTATTCGTCCGTGGAATATTCCGCTGAACTCTGGAGCGGGACCATACAGGATCGCTTGGCAAAGAGAGAGAGAGAGAGAGAGGAGAGAGAAGGAGAAAAGGAGAGAGAAAAACCCCGAGAGTTAATGTTCCACGGAACTACTAAACCTAGTGAGAGAGACACGAATTCGCATTTTATGGAAACGCTTTCTCCTTATAATGTATACGTCGTATCAGGATTAAAAATCCTGTAGAAAAATAAAAATTGACGCGTTTTAATTTTAACGGCATGGGTCATCAATGCTGCCGGGGAAAAAATTTTTTATATATAACAAAATAAAATTATATAGAAATATATAAAATTATACATAATTAGATAAAAGTGATTTTTATATATAATTATATAAATTTATATATATAATAAATAAGTATTTCTTCATATATATAAATATATATGTTTCATATATAATTTGACCTAATTATATATAAATCCTTATAATTCATATATAAATTTATATAATTATGTATAAAAATAGACATATTTTACATATAATTTTACATATAATTATACAATTATTTATATACAATTATATATCAAAATTTTTTCCCGGGTGGTTAATGATTTAAAAAAGTTTAGAAGCATATTTGTCTATTTCGAATTCTTTTTATAAGTATCGTGTGACATATATGACACACAAAAATGATGCGTATATTTATTGTCCGTGACAATAAAAGTATGCGATAATAAAAGAACATGACCACAAGATGAACGTAAAGATTAAATTATTTATGATATCTCAAACTCACCGAAATTGCGTCGAATTCAACCTCCGATCATGAGTCGATTAATGACTGGTTTTGTTGATAATCTCGATAGCAACTTGATTCACATCTCTGACTTGTCCTTATCCAATTTTAGTTATCTAAGCAGATAAAGAATATTACTTATATATTTTATATATATATATATATATATATATATATGCAATATATATCGCTCATTTCCTGCAACAATGACATAACTCAAAAATTGTGATTTTTCAGAACATGATTTAATAATACAATAGTAATTGATAATACATATAGCAATCTTTCTCTCTGTACTAATAATTCAAAAAGGGTGATTTTTGAGTTATGTCATTGTTGCAGCAAATGAACGATATAAAATAGACATAATAGATATAATATGTATAGATAACAAATTTTAACTAAATATAATGGCATTAATTTTCATTCTGTTTACATTTAAATATAAATATATAAATTAATTAATATATAAATTATTATATAAATTAATTAAATTAAAATATAAATTAATTAATATATAAATTAATATAAATATATTCATGCTGATATCATATTCAGTAAAATGTTGCAACTCTCTGGTGCACAACTATGACAAGAAAACCTAAAAAAATTCCTTAGTTTACATTTATAAGAATTATGTACTATTATGTTCGTTTTATATTTTTTACTATATAATATATATAATCTATATATATTATAGTAATAATAAAATAAATAAGAAATGATTCTCTCACCATATAGTAGTTGCACCGTTGACTGATGCCACCCCGGGCCTCTTCATAGAAGAAACACTTGCACTCGCGTTTATTTATTTATTTTTTCGTTCGCGATTTGCGGCGACGTTCGGGTTTATACACAGGTATTACATTTTCGACGCGTTTCGGTAAAACGCGAGAATCGCGAGAGCTTATTCGCGCGCGAATAAAACCGAAGCTCCGTTTCACGTCGCCGCTTTTTTCAAGGCTCTATCGAAGGGCCTCATCGCCGATATTCCAGAATCGGCCACTGCACTACACTTGGCTATATTTGATATTTCACTGAATATTCGACGACGAAAAAAATGGCGAAGATCGCCGATTATTTCGGAGACGCCGCGAAGCGAAAGTAATGTCACTTGTTCAGAGAAAATATTGTCCGGCACTCGACGCGATTCCGAGAATCCGGCACCTGGACGAAACAATTTAAGGAGTATTTCCGAACTCCACGTATACACTCACGATCGTCGCGTTTTTCGATGTACGATTACTATATGTACTCGCTCTCTCAACTCGACGATTCATGCTTAAAGAGCATGTACCGATGTTGAGATATCACGATAGCAAGATGGCGGAGCAAAACCGTGCGTAGTAGACCGGCGATTTTTCCGAGAGAATCACGAGCCTAGTTCGTCGCGGAACGATACTTGAACACGATGATCCGAAAGTACGACCGAAAACGCGCAATCGCCCGGGTAGAATACAATCGACACCGCCGAAAAACTCGGGAGATTTTCGCGTCGAAAGCGCACCCGGCAATTCTCGCGACCGCGTAAACTGGCGCGCGCAAATGTTGACCGTGAACTATGCGAAAGCGCACCAGAGGGCAGCAGCACACGGTGTTTGGTAATAAATTCACTTGGAGTGAAACGCTCGATTGACCAATCGAAACAGAGATCCTCGGTCTCCGATTGGTGGACAAAATTTCGCTCCGCCAATCGGAGACCGAGGATCTCGTTGTCCCGACTGATCAATCGAGTGCTACACCTTGGATGTCTTCGAATACAGTCTGCTGCACTTTCGACTTGTTCGTGCTCAACGTGTAAAGCTTTTATCGCCGGTCCGGTCCGCGTAAATATATGTGAATGTGAGTACTAAGCTATCTGTGGTATTAATTAGTGTCATTACGCTGTTAATTACTGTATAAATCCGATCGCCTCGCGTGTCCTGACATCGCGAAATCGATCTCGTCGACCGTGAATCTCGCTCGACGTGAAACATTATTTTGTATTTTTTTATTATACTGTCGTTCTCCCGAAGGCCGTGACGTCCGACTCGAGCTACCGAAAGTTGGCGCGCGCGGATTAAAATTTGTACACTTGCTGGGGTGCGTTTCGTATTAACCTCTGACACGTCAGAGTGTCATATTCTTTGTTTAACTTTCCGTAAGTAACAAAGATAGAATGACATCCTGACATGTGTCAGACATTAATATGGAACGCACCCCTGATATTATATTATTTAATATTTCCGCGTGGAAAACTCCCGCGCGAAGTAATACTTGAAATCGGCAGATTCTGACGTGACGTCACGACGTGACGTGCTTCAGCCAGCGCCGCCATACCGGTGCTAGTCCAGCGGCGGAGGTGTAGAGTGCTCGTCGCGAATGCTCCGCGTCTCGTTTGGATTTCGTGCGCGAGTAACGCGAATAAACGCGAGTGCAAGTCCGGGAGTGTCGTGTTTCGACGCGATGGACCGAATAATCTTCTCGGAGAGCGTCCTGGCGTCGACGGAACCCGGGAGCCTCGGAACATTGAGAATTGGTAGGCGGAAGGGAGGGAGGATACCGTTCCGCCGTGGTTTTCGCGCGTATTTCGGCGCTACTCGCTCGCTCATACGTATACCGTTACTCTCGTGCGGTATTTTGGCATTAGCCGCTCAACAAGGAATTCCGCGAGTGCTCTAGCATCTCCAGGAGTGCCCGAGTATCGGAAAAAGTGTCCGAGAGGCGCGAATTTATCGAAATCGGCGATTCAAATTGTAGGGGAAAGGCGGCGTCGTACCCCTCATTTGCTTTCGTGACTATCCGCGTAACGGTCATGGCGCTCAAGTATCACTCCGTCATGCCTCTTCGTTCGCTTCGCCACAGATTAATAGACAGATCGCCAAAGGCCTGCCTAAAGAAGAGACCGCCATCTTCGTGCGATAGACTTTGCCCCTTACCGACACACTTTGCCCCTGGTTCGAGTCCGTGCTAGATTTCGTAGACTTGAACCAAAAGACTTTGCCCCTGGTTCGAGTCCGTGCTAAATTTCGTAGACTCGACCAAAAGACTTTGCCCCTGGTGCAAGTCCAGGCTAAATTCGTTTGACATTACCAACAGACTTTGCCCCTGGTGCGAATCCAGGCTAATTGATCATGAGACCAATTTGAGAGATTTGGCCCCCGTTGTGCGTGTGTGTGTGTGTGTGAGAGAGAGAGAGAGAGAGAGAGAGAGAGAGAGAGAGAGAGAGAGAATATTTTACATATATGCATATATATATATATAAAATTTATTAAATATAAAAAATATATTTTTTACACATAAAATGTTTTTTTATTGAAATAATCACGATTTTAAATGTGATATAACACAGTGTTCAAAAATTTTTTAATTAAATTTTTTAATTAAATTTTATTAAAGAAAATTACTTGAAATTTTTTACATTAAGAATTTAAAGGCTCCTTATTCTCTTGTAGAAATTTATCACTACGCCAATTAATCACTTATTTTGAGTATTTAAAATACTATAATATACAGTAATTTAAGTATTCGAAATAAAAGTGATTAATTACTCGAAATAAGTGATAAATTGGCGTTACTAGTAATAAATTTCTATAAGGGTTGAAATAAAGTATAAGAGATAAATAGGCTATATGTGAGCTGTATGCGAAATGTGAGATGTAAGACACATATTGAAATTTAATTTTTCGATATAACTTTCAAAAATGTACACGAGGTACAAAAAATTTGCTTGGACATTTGTAAGACTTAAAATTGGGATTAATTCTCAATTCTATTAATTAAATTTCGATATAACACACCTTACATCCGCGCACGGCTCACATATATATAGCCCATTTATTAGTGCAATTTTTAAGTTCCTTATTTTTCAAAGTTCACCTTTTTACGTTATTAAATATTTTTACGTTTTCAAGAATTTTATATTTTTACTTACCGCAGTTTCTTATCCAAATGTAAAATCTTTTATCGCAGTCTATAAAAAATTGAAACATAATTTACAATTTTATGATTAAATATTATTACGTCAAACTGTCGTGAAATAATTAAATAAAATTTGCTAATTACGTCAAAGTCAAGTTTTCTAAGCTTATAAAACATTTTATTAAAAAACAGATTCAATAAATATAAGTACATGTTATATATATACTTATATTTATTGAATCTGTTTTTTTTATAAAATGTTTTATTATTATCATATATAATATAAATTATTTAATTATTTTTTTATTTTTTTATGAGTAATTTAATTTGTTCTAATTATTTTTGTACGAGAAAAATACTATCACGGGTATACGTTTTATAACGAATTAAATATATTTATGTTCAAAAATTATATTTGACCTTTAATTTTAATTTTGTATTTTATTAAAATTAATAATTAACATATATACTTAATTGCGAATTATATGGATGAACAAAATCCCTATTATGTGTGTAAGAGATTTCGGAACTCTTTGCTAAAATAATTAAAATTAAAAGTCAAATATAATTTTTGAACACTTTTATATTATTAAAAATATATAATTCGACTCTCGAAATATATTAATTCATTATAAAACGTATACGTATTAGTATTTTTCACATATTAAAATGATTAGAATAAATTAAATTAATTATTAAAAAACTAAAAATTAATTAAACGACTTAGACTTAGATGATAATAATAATGAAACATTTATTAAAAAATAATTATAATAGGTCAGGTTAAAATTTTATTTATTTATAACATCATAAAATTCTGTCCTTTCCGAAATACGCGAACGCTACGAAAAGATAAATCTCGTACATGCCGCCGGACGAGTTCATGAGCATGAGACGCTCTTATCTTGGGAACGTATTAATAGTTACTGCATTGACCACTACTACGATATGGCGCTGAAATCAGTGAGAAATGCTGGTCTCTCCTTCGTCCAGACCTTTGGCGATCTGTCTATTAATCTGTGGCTTCGCAATGTCACCTAATGACGCGGCTGGCCGAGAGATGTCGCGATAGACCGCAATGGATGTCGCGGTAACGACGCAGCGCGCCGGGAGATGTCACGATAGACTTCTATAAACATCACGAGAGTGAATTTAAGGGCATTTTGATGCGTTTAATGTGATTAATATTCGGACGCTCGCTTTCCCGGAATCCGAAAAGTATATTTTTTCAACAGATATTTTGTTCGTATTTTTATTCGCGAATGCGATATCGATCGTGATCGAGCAGGATCGAAAGTGCCGAATGCATTCGCGAGTGATCTTATTTTTTTCGTATCGTCCGTTCATTTCGAAGTGCATCTGTGCATGTGTAGTGAAGTACGATAAATAATTATTGCAAATATAAAATGATAGAAAAAAACAGTGCAGTGATCAGTGCCAAACTATATGGGATTATAGCAGAGCAGCAGTGGAACATATTAATAATCAACGCAATGTGAGTTTATTTTTTGTTTATGTTACATTGTCAAACGATTATTGGTTGTGATTCAAGCCGCGAAGCAAACTTCGAGACAACCAACCAGCATTACGGAAAAGAGACCTCGATACTTTCATTAAAATTAAATTCACTCAATTAACATGCCCTCTTTAAAGGGTAGGATACGAAAAATATAATATATATCGCACGGAATTCTTGGATTGAATTTATTTTATTTAGTTTTTTTATAGCAGAATATATATACTATATTATTAAAAAAAATTGAATTACAGCGACAAATTCATGTACGCTTCTCTCGTAATTAAAATATAGCCTAATTATTGTAATTATGAATATCTATATATGGATCTTTAATCGTTCGTTTTTACGGTGCGATACACTTTTCGCGCAAGGAGCCTTGCAATAACTTGACGATTTTTTAGATGTGATTAATCTCTCGAGTCGTCCGTAAACTGTTGGAACTCGCGATAATCGTGGATCCTCCTTAACATGAATCGGCGAGGGGGTCTCGTCCGGTATCCAATCGGATATTCCTTGATCATCGTAACGCAGATGTGCCCACTAACAATAAGATAAAAATTGTGTAAAAGTTGCACGTTTATTTTCTTTTTAATTTACCTGAAACGCGCGCATCCAAGCTTCGTAAGCGCAATTGACAACGAAACCGTAGACCGCTTTCCGCAAATAACCTTCGCGAATCGCGTTTTCGGCCGATCGGACTATCTCTTCGCGTATGAAGCCGACGATGTCGCTGACACATTCATCCTCTAATATCTCTTGCCATTTCGCCCGCGGGATTCGTGAGGGAGGAGGCGAAAATTCTCTGACGATTCCAGAAACGCGCGATACGAATCGCGAATTTTTCGCATTTTTGCACACGTTTCTAGAATAGAATTTTATTTTTTCAATGGTTGCGTGACGTTGAACACGTTAAAAAATCGACCTTTTAAAATAGGAAAATCTTTGAAGCGGAAACCTCTAAATATGGAATTTATTTTTAAAATACTACGTCCTCTAGTGAGCTATTTATGCATTGAAGCGGAAGTTTATTTCCTTGAAGAATATCAAACAACAGAATTAATAACTTTTTCGCTTTTGGATTTTGGTTTTCAACAAATGCGAATCCGTTGTTGGTTTTTAATTACATATTACATGTTATACATGACAGAATATTTTGTGTAAGCGGAAGAAGGGTAAGAAAAATGAACAATATCAAACTATAAACGAAAAGTCAAAGACGATGTTGCTCGTAACATTCAATATATATTTATTGTCTCAAGATATTGTTGTGTGTATTGAAATTTACAATGGTATAAATAAATAAAGATAAATTTAGCGCTCGTGTAGAAATAAGCCGCGTCTAAATATAAATCGTCAACTCTATCTTTCATTGATAATGAATTATTTTTAGTGACAATTTCTAATTTAAGGCCTAGCTGTAGATTATATATATATATATATTTTTTTTTTTTCAAAACTAAACCGTACAAAATTGACGGTAATTATAGAAGCGCTAATGATCTTTTTTTAAAACGACGCTCTTGAAAGTGCAATTTGCATGGATGTAATTTAACACAATAATAATTTTATCTCGAAAAAAAGCGTTAACTATTGATTAAATCGATATCCGTTGATATTAATTCTTTAACAAATACTGCACTAATTTACTTCGCGCATTAAGTTTAAAGATGAGTTATTTATTGCATTATTTTTGCAATATTTTAAATTAAAACTAAGATGATGAACCAATCTAATATTTAACAGAAAGTTTGAATTATTCGTTATTTAATTATATATGATATAATGGTGAATTATAGTGCATATATATATAATATATATATATATATATATATATATATATATATATATATGTATGTATATACACAATGTATATAGCATTTACGTTTAAATCATATTTAATTTTTATATAATTAACTTCTTTTCTTTAAATTTTGTTTCCTAATTCGTTTTCTCCATATTTACTGCACCTTTCTTTAATAAGTACATAAGTATACTTTATGATCATATAACTATACTTCAGAAATCCCATAACTCACATTTTGCAATCGATTATCGCGGCGCTTAAAACTGAAACTTTGCGGTTAACGGATTAAGCAATCAATTCCTCTTTATACTTACAAGAAATTTAGCAGTGAATTAATTGATAGAATTATCAATGGAGAATTGTGTGAATGACGTATATATAATACATGTGCTACATTTTCTTCTTATTATTTACGCTATTCTATAATCTTGTTTTGATAACTTGTAAATTTTTTTTTGCCGATAATACGAGCGGATTCATAATGATATGCTAGACAACCTAGGCGAATGGCCAGGATTAAAGCCAAACGCTAAACATATTAGTAATCGTATCATCATATACTGACGGAATTTAAAAAAAAAAATGAATAATAAAAGTATTCGTATACCGTAATTTTCTGTGCAGCAATCAACTTTGCATCGTATATTAAAAAAAACAATTTAAATTTCTTACAAATAATAAATTTGTATAACTTTTATTTTTTATCTTTAAATAATAAATAAAATACATACTTTTTTAATAAAATACTATCTTTGAAGAGAGAGTAAATATAGTTTATGAAATTTAGAACTTTCAGATTTTTTCCTAAAAAATATTCGTTGATATCATTCGATGATATGATGGGATGATAAAATGTGCTCGAAAAGAATACACTTTTTTTTAATCGTAAAAAATAGTTTTTGCATGCTGCTGAATAACAAACATTGCCAGTACGTTGTTAACATTTTTAACCAGTCAAAATTTTATAAATAATGCATTAATAAAGCAATATTAATTAACGAGTTTATGTATTGTGATTAATTAATAGAACGAGATTCACAGAGACAAAATCAATGATGCATAAATGTTTTTATCCAATAAAGGTTTAATATATTTATATGTATGGAGAGACTCTCCCCGTTTTTATATCCCCTATAAAAATGTACTAATAAAAATAGAAAATAAAATATATCGATATATACGAATACTTTTTGTACTTATGTATTAAGCTTCATTAATAATTACAATCGAACGTTTCGTTTCATGAAGGAATAGATTTATAATTATGTAATTAAATCATTGAATAACTGTATATAAGGTTGATTGCAAATATTACTATTTTTTCAACATTTACTTCAGAAAGCTAAAGATTTTGAAAAGAGAATTGCGTGTAGGTGTGTACTCTATAAATAATACTTTAATGAAATATCTTGCTCTTTATTTTTACTTTTAATAGACTTGCAACTGTGTGTGTTAAAAGGGAATTGTTCAATTGACAAAGTATTCCTCTTAATATAGATTCGCGCGTGTAATTATGTAGATCCTGCTACAACTCCCTCTTTTTATCTTTCGCCGTATTCGAAGCTCTAATTCTTTCGCTTGTGATAATTCTAATTGGACGAACGAAACGCTTACGTTAGATTCCACTACGTTACGAAGAAATTACATTTATTTCTCGTTACTGATACAGAGAGATTCGGTGCCACGAAATTATCTTACTTTATTTCTCGCTTCTCACTTGATTATCACATTCTCAAATTGAGGTCTGAGAATTTTTCGATTTTTAAATCTTTAAACGTATCTAGGAATCTTCTAGTCGTTTAGATTTTCATCGAATTCCAGGCTCTTTAATTTCTTAGATTTTCAATTTGATGTGCCTTCTAATAGACTTCTAGTAGACTTTTGGATTTCTAAATCTGCAAATGTGACTCGTTAAATTTTTGCAATCTACATTTGATCAATGTTTAATCGTATGCTTTCTCAATCTTGATATTCTTGCTCTTCAATTCTTACTAAGTTCTTGAATTCTTGAACTTAGAAATTATTTGTTCCTTGCATATGCAAATACTAGGATCTTTAATTCGTTGAATTCTTCAATTTTTATATTTTTTGAATCCCTGGAACCTGCTTCTCTAATGCTCTCATTGTTGGACTTGTGTACCCTTAAATCGTTGAATCCTAAAATTGATAGATTGGATGTCGTAATTTGAATACAAGAGTTTTCCGGTCTTTAGGTTTTTGAAAGAGAAACAAAAATTTTTGGATATTTAAAAATCTAAAAATGTATAATTATTTATTCCACAAGAGAAAATTCTTTAATCTTCTCCGCATGTTAAAAGCTATAAATGATTGGATCGTTAAAAGTTTGGATTCTTATTTCCGATTTACATCTCTCGGATTCCTAGATTTTTGAACTCTATAATTCTAGGTTCGTATCCCCTTGGATTCTTGGAATTTTCGAATCCTTAGATCTTGGATCTTGCATTATTAGATCTCCAAGGACTCTCCTCCTGTCTCCTAATAGTCGATACGACCCTTTCCTCGTGGTACATACACACGGTGGATCTTTTCATTTTCTAATTGGAAGACCAACATCTGTCGTAAAGATCCTTAAGCGCTAACGCCGATTATGACACCTCCGCTTCCAGGAAGGCCGGTTTCTCCCATCAAGGCCAAATCGATTTCTTTCGCGGCCAATCGCCCTTCTGCGATCGCCCATACCACGAGAGATTGTCCACGTCTGCAATCTATATTTAAAAATACATATTATATATAAACCTTAGCTTTGACAACTATTATATTACTTGTCAATCTTAATTGATAACGCTTATTGCATCGCAAATGTACAACAGAATATTGTATCATAAACCAAATGTTTAAGAAAGCAATATATACAAGATTCAACGATTGTTTCAAATTTTGCAACCGATTTTGAAATTATTGAGTAAAGTTGTCAGTTATCTTTTTTTTTGGTAAAATTAAAAATACAAATTGGACTTATATTCCATACTAACCGCCTGCCGCGTATATTCCGGACATATTAGTATGATATTTTCCAGCCGGAGTTTTATAATTTCCTCTCTCGTCCAACTCGGCATTCAGTTCCGTGGCGATATATTTCTCGGGGCCGAGGAAGCCCATGGCGAGTAGTACCAGATCGCACTTATACACCTTCTCCGAATTCGGCACCTCGTCCATCTTCCATCGGCCATTCTCGTCTTTTTGCCACTCGACGGATATCGTCCTGATGCCGCACACGTGGCCCTGTCCGTCGTCCAGAAATGCCTTGCTCAGCGTGCTATATCTACGCGGATCGCGACCGAATTTTACAGCTACTTCCTCGTGGCCGTAATCGACCTTGAATACACGCGGGAATTGAGGCCACGGATTATCCTTGCTCCTCTGAGCTGGCGGCTCGGGCAGAATCTCGAAGGTTGTGATCGTCTTCGCACCTTGTCGCAGCGAGGTTGCTATGCAGTCGCATCCAGTGTCACCTCCACCTATGATGACGACGTCCTTATCCTTGGCTATTAGCCGCATGTCGAGTGGCGTCGCGTTACCCATCTGTTTCTTCTGCCAATGTTCCAAGAAACTCACGGCAAAATGAATGCCCTCCAGCTGCCGACCGGGAATGGGCAAATCACGCGGCCACGTCGCTCCTGTAGTCAACAAAACCGCGTCGTATTGCTCTCGAAGTTGCTGCAAAACATTATTGAAAATTTATTTGTCGAGAAAGTATCGTACAATACACGCAACATTGTAAAAAAATTGTTATCGTATGCTTACTTGCACTGCAACATCCTTGCCAACATCAGTGTTTGTCCGGAAGATGATCCCCTCCGCGGCTAAGAGAGAAACTCTCCTTTGTACGACTTCTTTGGACAGCTTCATTGTCGGTATACCGTATTGTAGCAGTCCGCCGATTCTATCGTTTCTCTCATATACTGTCACTGTGTGACCCGCTTTATTTAGTTGATGAGCAGCGGCTAATCCTGCGGGACCGGATCCCACCACTGCAATTTTCCGTCCGGTTCTTCTGGTCGGCGGATGAGCAACGATCCACCCCTGTTCGAACGCGTGATCAATTATGGCACACTCGATATTCTTGATTGTCACCGGCGGTTCGGAAATTCCTAAAACGCACGCGCCTTCGCAAGGTGCAGGGCAGACTCTTCCGGTGAACTCTAGAGTATTAGAATTAAATAATTATTTCAGAGTTGACTTATTTATATAATGGACTAATTAAGATATATAAGTAAAAGTAAAATGAAAAAAAAATCAGATTTTAAAAATATTTAAATAAAAAATTCCATTATAAATAATAATGTTTAACGAAAAATTTATATATAATATGATGAAGATTATTAAATTCTTGTTTGCAAAGAACAAATTCAAAGTTTCTTATAAATTCTTAGAATGTTTAAGAAGAATATATTCTTACAAAATTGAAAAAATTTAGTTTAGCAAGGAAATTTTCTCACCGGGAAAATTATTAGTCTGCAACAATTGATTAAGAGCCTCTTTCCAATTCTGATGGAATACAAGATCGTTCCACTTTGGAATAATGTTTCCCAATGGACATCCGTGACTACTTTGACAGAACGGAACGCCGCACTCCATGCATCTCGCCGCCTGCACTCGCAGAGTCTTCCTGACACCCTGGAAGTTGTAGATCTCGTTCCAATCCTCTACACGCTTCTCAGCCGGTCTGTACATGATTTTTTGCCTCGGATACTTCATAAAGCCCTTGATCTTATCGAGCTTGCGTTGTGCCATCTCAGCATCCTCTATCGCATCCTCTATGTCTTTGATCTTACGATTGGTCACTTGCGCGTCACCATTAATCACATTGGGCGTTTGTTGCTTGGCCTCCTCCATCTGTTTCAGGGCTCGTTGATACTCGTATGGGAAAACTTTGACGAATCTCGTGGTTGGTTCCGGCCACGTGGCAAGCAAATCCTGCGCGATCAACGAGCCAGTCTTCTCGATGAATTCTTCCAATAACTGCTTTACGTAGGCGATTTCATCGGGTTTGGTGAGCGGCAATAATTCTACCATTTCAGGGTTGCATTTGCTCTTGAAGGAGCCATCCACGTCCAAGACGTACGCGATTCCGCCGGACATTCCAGCGGCGAAATTTCTACCGGTCAGACCCAAAATCAGGGCGCAACCGCCCGTCATGTACTCGCAACCGTGATCGCCTACACCCTCCACCACGACAATTGCTCCGCTGTTGCGCACGCTGAATCTCTCAGCAGCGATGCCACGGAAGTAAGCTCTTCCAGAAGTGGCACCGTAAAGACAGACATTCCCGACTATTACGTTCGCTTCCGAGTTGAACTCGGAGTTCTTTGGTGGATATATGACAATTTCACCTCCGCAAAGACCCTGCGAGTAAATACGGTACGAGATGAATATATATATATATATTATTTATAAATACTACACGTACATAATTTTTCGTATGTATATGTCGTAAATTTAAAAATTGAAGAAACGCGCGCGACATATTTACCTTGCCGACGTAATCGTTGGCATCACCTTCCAGAGTGACATGTATACCCTTGGTCATGAAAGCGCAGAAACTCTGGCCCGCAGAACCTTGCATTTTAATATTGATACTATTCTCAGGTAGTCCAGCTTCTCCAAATCGTCTAAAGTAATTGCAAGAATAAGGAAAAGTAAGAATAGGTTCTCTCGTGACATAATTTAGTCAATGATAAAAAGTATTCGGTAAATTTTGCAAAGAATAATTAAGAAACTTACTTGGCTACGTGATAACTTAGCGTTGATGCAAACGCTCTACACTCGTTGTTAATGTTCATCTCGATGTCGACTCGAGCTCGTGCCCCGTTCATAACTGGTTCAGCCAGTTGAATTAGTTTATTATCGAGTCTGTTCTCCAGTTGAAAATCCTGTTTCAAAGTGCCGCCCCTAATATTCACGCCGGGTCTCAAGTCCAGTGCGTTTCGCAGAATATTGCTAAGATTTAGGGTCTTAGCCTTCTCGATGGTAATGTCATCGCGTACCTTGAGGAGATCCGTGCGTCCAATCAGATCTTGGAATTTGCGGATGCCTAAATTGGCCATGTGCGAACGTACCTATGAAAATAGTGCCAATAAGAATTAAAAATATTAGAAGAAATAAATGCGTTAAATAACATTTATTCATCATATATATTATTTTTTGCTGTAATTTTAATCATAAAAAACTTATTAAATTTAGTTAATTTTAATTAATCTGCATCTCATATTTAACATGTCGATGCAGTTCAATCATAATTTCAAAAACAGAAAAAGAGATATTTAAAAAGGCACAACAAAAACATGTATAAGATATATAAATATATTATAATATGCATAAATATAATAATATAAGAAAAAACGAAAGAACGTGCTGATAAATAAAGCGAAGACTAAACGATAACTACAAGATGATTAAGAATAAAAATATCATACCTCCTCAGCGAGGGCGAAGAAGAAATTGACAACGTGTTCCGGCTTGCCCTCGAATTTTTTCCTCAACACTGGATCCTGTGTAGCGATTCCCACCGGACAGGTATTCAAGTGACACTTTCTCATCATGGTGCAACCCATAGCGATCAACGGGGCAGTGCTGAAGCCAAACTCATCGGCGCCAAGCAGCGCCGCCACCATAATATCGAAACCGGTACGCAGCTGACCGTCCGCCTGGACAATCATGCGCGATCTCAAGTTGTTCAGAGTGAGCACCTGATGTGTCTCGGCGATGCCCAACTCCCAGGGTAGTCCGGCGGACTTGATGCCGGTCCAGCTGCTAGCGCCGGTGCCGCCGTCATGACCGGATATCACCACGTGTTCAGCCTTGCCTTTGGCAACGCCAGCGGCGACTACGCCAACCCCGACTTCGGACACGAGCTTGACGGAGATACGAGCGTTCGGATTGGCGCATTTGAGGTCGTAGATCAGTTCAGCCAGATCCTCGATCGAGTAGATGTCATGATGCGGCGGCGGCGAGATTAGACCTACTCCAGGTACAGAGTGTCTGGTGGCGGCAATCTCCGCGGTGACTTTGTAACCGGGAAGCTCGCCACCTTCGCCAGGTTTCGCGCCCTGAGCCATCTTGATCTGCAAATCATCCGCGTTGGCCAAGTAGCTGGCGGTTACGCCGAAGCGGCCGCTGGCTACCTGCTTGATGGACGAGCGCTTGCTAAACTCCGGATCTTGATTCAGATATCTGTTGGATGAAGTAGCAATTAGTAGTTGGAGGTTTTTGTTTTGTGTCATTAATTGTGTGTTAATAATCGGTAATAAGAATTTTAAATTTTTATCATCGAGAAGATCCTCTGATTTATATGTCCATTTTTTCTATCTTCTTCTTTTATACCTGTCTGCATTTTCACCACCCTCGCCGGTGTTCGATTTGCCGCCGATACGGTTCATAGCGATTGCCAGAGTGGCATGAGCTTCCAAGGAGATGCTGCCGAAGCTCATCGCACCGGTCGCGAAACGCTTCACAATTTCCGATGCAGATTCTACGTCCGTGATGGGAATCGGCTCGCGCGAGTTCTTCAATTCGAGCTGACCGCGTAGGGTGCAAGCTTTCACCACTTCCATCGTGGTTTTGCGATAATTCTCATAAGCCGGATTACTCTTGGAGACGACATAGTCCTGATGATAAAGAGATTTGTGTTAATTTCTAATAAAAAATGTATATATATATATATGCATATATACACATATAATATACTAGAAGAAAATTTAAGAATTGTGAAACAAGATATATAATTGTTAAATAATTACACAAGTAATTATTCCAATAAATGTTAAAATATTTATATTAATAACGTAAAATATTTTACAGTGTAAACAACTTTTGCTTCTTTAAGATATAATTAAATAGTGACTTTTCAGCTATAATTCTTTTCACGATAGATTGTCAATCTATGTTTTAACAGTTAGACTTTCAAAATTTGTTACCTGTAAACTAGCGATGCTGGTGGGATCATTGATGTGTTTCTCACCACCTGATCGCCAATGATAAATTCCGGGATTACGAATGACTAACAGATCCATAGGTTTCTGCCAGTACGTTATTTGATGTCTCTCGAACGCCTCCTTGCCCAAAATATCAAACGTCACGCCACCGATACGAGATTGAGTGCCCTGAAAAATTTCAACTTGCAATTAACACAAAAGTATAACTTATTGCTTAATATGTAACGGAATAAATAATAGTTGGTCGAGGTGCATCATCAAAAAAATTTGAATCATTAAGCGATCATTAATTGGATCCAATTTTTAATCATTTGCACCTTAAGAATTTTATTTAAAAAATGACGTTTTTTTCTCAAAATTAATTTGTATTCAAAATTTGGCAAATATTTTACAGTTATTGAAAATTATTTTATAATAAAAACCGACATAGAAATATAGGAATTCAATTTCTCTTTATTCTAAACTCTAAACTATAGAAAGTATACCTTGAAACACTTGTCGATAACCTCGTCAGCTAGTCCAACTGCTTCGAATATTTGCGCTCCTTTATAAGATTGTAGCGTTGAGATTCCCATCTTGGCCATCACTTTCGCGATTCCTCGTTCCATAGCTTCCGCATAATTCTGCGACATTTAAGCGATATTGTTATCATCTTTTTTTCATACACAAACAAAAGAATGTAATTTTGATAATTTGTCATTTTCGCACAAGTATTCTCGTTCTACAAAACTTTACCTTAAAGATAACATCGTCGGTAAATGTTTCGTCGAAAACGTGATCTGCCCTTAGATTTTCGCCATTTCAAATACCAGATAAGGGCATATGGCATCCGCTCCGTAACCGAGTAGAACACAGATGTGATGAACCTCTCGAGCTTCCGCGGTTTCGAGAATAAGACCGACCTTCATTCGTTGTCTCTCTTCGATCAAATGATGATGAACAGCACCCAGAGCCAGCAGACTGCTGACCGGAACTCTAAAGACAAGCAAAAATAATGAAATTGTAGACTTTTCTCTGCTCTCATTTTTCATCTTTCATTTTATTAATCTTAATAAAAGTCAATGTTTCGATTCGTGAGCTGCCTCACCTTGATGGACCACCTTGTCGATCGGACAATACGAGAAGTTGAAAACCTTCTCTGGCGGCAGCGTTAGCCTCGTTATTAACACGATTCAGCGTCTTCAACAATCCGCCGGGTCCGTCTTCAATGGGATAAGTGATATCGATTACTTTTGTTCGCCAGCCGCGATGCGTCGTGCGCTTGAGAATATCGAGATCATTCAAGGACACTATCGGTTGGGGCAGGAACAAACGATGTACTTGTGATTCGCTCGGCTCCAAAATATTGCTCTCGGGCCCGATTGGGCAGAGCATCGACATCACGATTTTTTCACGGAACGGATCGATCGGTGGATTCGTTACCTGATTATGACAATTTTAATTGTGATGAGACATGTGTGTATTTTAGATATATTTGATCGTATTTAATCAAATATTTTTATAAATCATTTGCTTTAATTATTCTTTTGATCGCGTACCTGCGCAAATAATTGCTTAAAGTATTCGTATAATAATGGTTGAAATTCCGACAAACATGCCAGGGGAGCGTCGTTGCCCATAGATCCCAACGCCTCTTTCCTAAAAGTGAATATCGTTTGAATATCATCCAATATTTAAAATAGTAATATTTTTATATTGAAAAGTAATATTTTTATATACGTACTTGGTTTGCACCATGGGTAGAAGTAGCAGGTTGATAGTCTCCAGAGTGTAACCGTAAAGAGAGAGCCGCTTATCGCCACTCCAGACTTTATTCACTGCCGAGACTTCGTTTATGCCATTAAGGACATTTTTCTTTGCGACAGCCGTGTCGGTGGATATATTATTCCCGATTACGTCGCCCGCATCGTCATTATTAACATGCGCGGCACGCAATTCTTCCATAGTAATCTACGTTCACAAAAAAAAACATCGTCAACTATTAGCCAGTTTTCATTTTTCGCAGAGAATAGGATTTTAATAAGGAAGAGAGATGTTTTGAGTTAGAGGATAGAGAGAAACTTTCATGCAAATATGGTATTACATGTGAGAGATTTAATTAGTAATTTAAGTATATTAATTGGTAAATTAATTGACAAAACAAAAATGAAAGAAAAGATTAGTCGACGGATTTCTGCATGCAGAAAAGAATCGTCCAAGATTTTCCCGTGTACACAATTTTATTATTTATAATTTTTTTATTATATATCGCTACTTATTTACTATATATCAATTTATATACTGTACTAAAAAAATCAACACATCCAAAGTGATACGTATGACTCACCCTCTGCGTATACGACGATAACGGCATATGCAGCGATGCGAGAAAAAAGTTAACTTTATATTAGAACACTTTTTTCTTGCAAGGATAATCTTGGTGTAAATTTTAATGGTAAAAATTTTAATTGCTAAAATCAATTTAAATATTAGACCCCAGGTTAAATATTATCTTCATCTTAAGGATTGGAATGTGTTAATCCTTGGAATGTATTAATTGATTAGGAGGTTTAGTCAATTAGTTTTTATAAAAAAAAAACCAAGAAATCCATTTTTTTTCGGTGAATAAAACATGGAAAAAAATATAGCCATTATAGCTAAATTTTAACTATTTCTATATTACACCTGAAATTTATAAAGTTCATGCCTAAATTTTAACTGTGGCAGCTAATATTTTTTAGCTATAGTTAAACGAAGAATTCCTAATTAATCAATGCGATAGTCAGGCAGACACGTTAGTGTCTTGTATCCTTGTATGCAAAATATCAATTACATGTATATACAGAGTATGTCCGTAGAGTTGACAACAAACGGTTTATATAACAAAAAAAAATTAGTTTCTGCAAAATTAATTAATAAAAATTTTTGGAACAATTAATTTTTTTTCTTGAAAAAAAAAACAAAAAAAACCGATTATTTCTAATCGCGTAGCGCGACAATTGACAAATAATCGATGACGATCGACGAAAAGGGCGCGTTTAGCTACCTGTTCCTTGAGCCACTTTGAATGAGGCCTGCTTCGAGCGATGTGCAGCTTCAATTCAACATCCTGTATGATCCTCTTCTCTTCGGTATCGACGAGAAGCATTCGGCCGGGCTTCAAGCGACTCTGAAAATAAAAGAGTACACCGATAATCGCCATAGAACGGATTTGACACGTCGATGATCGACATTCATATGACAGCACTGGATGACGGTCCTACAGCTCTATACAAACCTAGTCCCTAGATGACAAATTATACATTATACATGATACATGATCAAAAAATAAATAAAATACGATATATGTGATTAGCTCTATTATATACATACGTATAATATTAACGGTACAGCGAAGTAGATATTTTGCGGATCAAACGATGACAGTCTGCCCTTATCGATTCGTTATAGATGTTGATATTCCTTTAATCTTCGAATGCAAAATTGTCACGTTCAAACAGAGAAGGAAAAGAAATTTGGAATCGTGGATGAAGCCAGCGGTGACCAACCGGTAGCTAGCATTGGTCGGTCATCATCGCCATCATCGCATAAAGGCAGAGTGCCAGTACATTACATTGTTTCGGCAATATTCGAGATTTAGCGAATTCGCGCAAAAACGTCCAACGAGCGTTAAGATATAAAATATTTTATACTCTTGTCCGCGCGAGTGTGATAGAACTTGGTTTATCGGATTATTTACGACTATCAACGGTTACTTCGTAATTATTTAATATACTCGAGAGAAATATGTCGCGTTACGTTTTTATTACGAAGGACGGGAACGACGAGCTTCTTGCTTCCGACAGAGATTCCAATAATGTAATGAATAACGTATATTTGTTAGACATAGATGAAAGATAAGATGATTTAATAAATCGCATGATGGCCACGCTTGCATCCCAGAACGAAGACGCCATTCAAGACTAACCTGGCCGAGGACATAACATATATAACCAAAGAGACGTACATGATCAACGATCTCTGTATAACCAAAGATCTCTGGAACTCAAAATTTGCGTAAGCATGCAGCCTATTAAGCCATAAATATATATCTGCAAAACCATTATTCCGTGGAATCAACAAGCTACGCTCTGTTCCCGATCTCTTCTTCCTCTAAGGTTTTTCTTTACCGATAACGAGAGAATTTTCCAATAAAGAAAGCTCTATCGTCGCTCGCCTCCTTTCTTCTTTCTCTAATGAGAAATCAGCGCAGGAGGGCAAAGCGGATCGTTTCGTGAACGGTCGACAAAATAATCGGTCGACGAGGCGAAATGCGAACCGTCGAAAAATGATGGCGAGAAGGCGTGTTATCGAAGCTAGAGATGCGCGCTTGAGAGTTTGGTTACGCGAGAATAAAGAACGAGCTTAGGAACCGTCTATAGTATATGTCACTCTCGCGTAACAAAGTTCTCAAGCGTCGATAAAAAAAATCGAAAAAATACGGCTTATCGCGCGGTTAAAGACGCGCAAGCATTGCTTTTGTACAATCGTACACGAGCAGAGCAGCAGGTAACTTTGATCGAACTCCTCGCTTCCTTGAGGGGATCCTCGGATGCTACAGAGAGACACAAGTCCGACTTCCTCGGGCAGGTCGCCTTCCCGATTGCTCTTCCACCACCGCGGCATCACCGTGAAAACGTTCTAAATCGGGGAGAAATGTAGAGAAAAGGCGCGGAGAGATGAGAGAATAGGGGGCGAGGAAAAAAAAAAGATTGAGCATATGAGGGGGATGACTGAGACTCGTCGGTATATAAATCATTAAACACTGCGAGTCAGCTGTCTCCGCCTCAGAGAGAGAGGCACTCTCCTCCCCCTCTCGATGAGATCGGCCGATGTGCTTGGGATGCGCTTATTTTCCTTCGTTTACCTTCAGGACTACATTGCTGGGCGGAGTATCATAGACGCCCACTTCGGACGCCATCACCATCATGTTATCCTTAGTGACGTAGAAGCGCGACGGGCGCAGGCCGTTTCTGCCAAACAAAAATTCAAAAAGGTCTTTTGTATTTCACACCACCTCTGTGCCGCGCGCTAGGTATCAGCTGAGTGAACTACACATTGCTGTTCGTTCGTTCGCTTGCCTGCCTTCCTGCTGGCTTACTCGCGTATACTTTCTCTTTCGCTCTTTATATCATCTCTGTTTTTTTTTTTTTTTATTTTTTTTTCTCTTTCTCTCTCTCCCTCTCCCTCTCTTTCTCCCTCTTTCACAGTCTCTTGACCTAGGCTCTATTTACCTGGGTTAACAGCACGTTGGGAGACAACGATGGACACTTAGCGAATCGTAAACGGATCGATTCTCTCGCTGTACAGAGACGGGGCAAGAAGGAAGTCGCGCTTCGATTATTCTATTTCCTTTATCAGTTTATCTCTACAATTTTATTTTTATTACGTTCCAAGAGATACGTATGTATATTGCAAGATAAACTAAAGCGATTGTTTCATTACGAAAACGTCGATAAACTTTGAGGTCTATATTAACTTTCTAAACTGAAACTTTGAAAATTATTTCTTGAAATTTCAAAAAACTCTGCATCCCTTGAATCTTGAAATAAGTATTTTAGAAATTAATTTTTAGAATGAATGAATCTATGTTCGATAGAGATTTTATTATCAATACCTCACAATCAACGTTTACTTTTCGTTGATCATTTTTAGCCCAATCATCGCGATTGTGAAAATTCAAGTAATATCAAATAAAAATAATACAAGTAATTTTAATAAAAACATATATTTCTCCCGAGAAGCAATTATTTAAAAACGCATTTCTATGTTGAGCAGTCGACTGCGCGACTTCCCTCCGCCTTTGAAAATCCATGTTACCTGGAGTATAACCGAGTGTCTCTACACGTGTGTGCACCGTTCTCATACATTTCGTGAGCACCGTTAATCCTGCTGAATGCACCTTGCAAAGTGTGGGCAATATACGCCCACGTAGCCTAGCATTCTTTCTTCGCGGCTCCTCTAACAAACGACATCGCAGAGTCCCTTCGTTCGGCTTTCTTTCTCTCTTTCAACTTTTAGGGTCCTTTCAACACTTTGAATGCCGTTTCAATTCAATTCTTTCCGCATCTCCGTATTTATTTTTATCGAGCAATGTACATATACTTTGAAGAGCTTACTGATAATAAATATAACAAAAGTACGTTCATATCAATTTATATCGTTAAATTGGAAAGATTTTATATACAAAGACTTGATAATTTTCGATTAAAATCGTATGATGTTTTAATTCGTGATGTAGTTAATGTTCACTCTTAAGCATCAATATAAATTTTAGTGTTTTTATGGTTAAAGATTTTACCTTTTCCTTGCAGACACTAAATAACCATAAATATTTTGATACGATTTCCTATTAAATATTCTTATTTTCTTTGCGCGATGTTGCTTGTGATGTTACTTCGCTTTTGAAATTATTTCGGTGTAAACAATTCACTCACTTACCTGTACAACTTGCGGTACATTTGTGCAAATTCTTTTTAATCGAGAACTTTATTGGCAATAGCGAATTAACACACATTCACATCTTTTATCGCAGCTTTAATATCAAAATATCTTTAACCAACAAATCAATCGTTACATACTGTGTCATTTTAGTTTTAACAATGCTATATTAATAAAAACTAAAATGCGGGTATCGTCGAATCACCGCGCTTGGATTCAAAGTGTTAAAGGCCGATGGAATCAAAGATCCAAGAGATCCGTGCGACCTTAGATCCCATTTCTGTGATCCAAGGATCCGCAGGATCTACGTGGATACGAAATATGGCAAAGGAAATTACCAGACAGCACGAACGAGAGGAAAGTGGAGCCTACGTAGAAACGAATGTAGTAAACGAGACGGCAAATAACGAGAGATGGCAAATTTCTACCTGTCCAAGATAGCGCCGACGTAGCGGCCGTCGGTGAAGGTCAGCAAGGCCGGGCCGTCCCAAGGTTCCATGGCGCACGCCGCCCAGTGGTAAAAGTCGCGCTTCTCCGTGGCCATTGTCAAGTCGTTCTGCCAGGCCTCCGGTACCATTGTCATGACAGCCTAAATTCAAGTAACCATGATTTTAGAACGTTTGTACGTACGCGAGATTCGCGATAATTCGGAGAGAATTAACAGTGATAGGCAATTAAGCATGAATAGATTGATCGTACTCGAGAATCCGTATTATAACTTCTTGGGTAACAAGATTTTTTTTCTAAAAATCCTGAAATATCAAGATTATTACAAGTTTGTATGGAATCAATCATTCATACAAGTGATTGAGATCTTGGATTAACGATCCATAAAGAATCTAGAATTAGTGAAATTCAATTTCCGTGTGATATATAAGATTAATTATAGAATTTAAAAATCCGAGAAATACCGTAAAGTGGGCGACGTTTTCTCTTTGGCCTGTCTTTAAAATGAATTTACCTCGGGTAAGGAACGTTGTCCCGCCATCACCAAAAATTCGAGCACACAGTCCGCCGATCCAGAATCGGAGAGATTCGGCTCGACGACCGGATAGAGCAACTTCAGCTGATTGCCATATATCTGGCTGCTCATCACGCCTTCTCGCGCCTTCATAAAGTTCACGTTGCCACGCAGAGTGTTAATTTCGCCGTTATGAGCCAGCAATCTATGGGGAAAAGATTTTGCATTATATCGATATACTCGCTCGTTGCGGTTTCGAAACATCCTGCGAAAGTGCGATTACGACCTACGAAAAAATTCCATTTGTCGCGCAGTAATGAGATAGCAAGATCGAAAAGACGGAAGGAGCTTTTGTTATAGCGCACTGTTCGCAAAATTTGATAAAACGGTATCAGAAATCACATTTTTAAATACGTATACTATTAGATAGAAAAACATTAAAAACTAAAAAATCGAATAGAGGAGGAAGATAATGAAATAGAATAGTTGAAAAAGTTGATGTCATGCTAATGCGTAACGACAAATCTTTATCTCTCATCGCGTTAGTCGTTTAAAAATATTCTTCGGAAAAAAAATTTTAGTTTTGTTACACACAATCATGGAAAAAAAGTCACACTTATGCTTTTTTAAATGTGAGTGATTTTATATGATAGTCTTCATTACTCTACTAATTTATAGGACACTATAACTACAAAGAAATGATCAAACATTCCTCTAAAGCATTTTTTATATTCATATCGATGACGTCATCGTGATAATGAGTTTGAAGAAATAAATATTATCTCGCCACCGTTAGAAGTGACTAATTTTTCAGAAATGGACGGTAATAGTTTATTATCTTATCTGCGTTTTTTATCTGATGTAGCTGCTTACCGTAGAGGATGCGCCCTTTCCCAGCTCGGAAACGTATTCGTAGAGAATCGGGTATGCACCAATGCCAAATAAGTCTCGAACTTTGGAGACTGATATGAAGAGAAATGTGACATTACGTTATTTATGATAGTACATTTTACAAACGCTTTCAGACAAGAATGACATCTTTCCCGGGGGAGATTTCAATAACTTAGCTATTTTAGATAATATTATTTTGAATACTAAGATCGACGATAAAAACAAAAAATTACTGCGGCTACTTTTTCAGCAATTATCTCTCTATATATGTTATTTAAGTAAGTTTATTGTAATTAAATTTAAGTCACTACATTTTGAAAAAAATATTATTTCTTACAAAAATTTATTGTTTTCTGTATAAATAATCGAGTAAATAATATTATTCGTAATTTAAAAACGAAAAGCTATTGCTGCAAATAAATAAGATATTCGTTAAATCAGAGCTCCAAACTTATCGGAATCGCATCTTTTCCCGAGAAAAAAACCGATATGAAATATAATCACTGGTCGACTCACCTGGAAGTCCGGGAAATACTGCCATAATTGATCAGCAGACAGCTGTCCTTTGTAGACAACAGTCTTCAGAGACAATGAGCAAATGTAGTATCGCAATCCCGGTCGTGGTATTGTATGCGACGATCTCTTCCTCAGCACGAATATCTGAGCAAAATATATGATCAAAACGTAAGAACATGATAATTAAAGATTGATTAAACGAACTTGCGTTTTGGCCTTGAAAAAGGCAACTGTTTTGCGACAAATCCGAGTTCTATTCTTACAATTTGGCAAAGTCGTTTAATGTGATATATTATTTGACCCACGAAGCACAATGTGTATATAATGTGTGCAATTTTAGATTGCCAAATAAATGAAAATAATGGCAATGAAGATGATGTATCATTATGATAATTTTGATTATAAAAATCGAGCAAATTACCTGTCGCTTAAGCGTTTCCGTATCTTGATCGCCAATTACAAACACTTGACGCATGTAGGGTTCACACTTCTTCGCCACTTGACCAATCTGCGTGCTATCGGTTGGAACATCGCGCCAGCACAGCACCTATTACAAATCACGCAATCTCGAGAATAATGCCAGGGGCAGAGAGTGCAAACGACACGAGCTAGCTAAAATATCGAAACGGATTAATAAGAGACATACTCGCAAATTGCATTCCTCGGCCAGTTTCTCGAACGCGGACTCCACCTCCGTATGCGTCTTCTTGTCAAGGAATAAAATACCGGTCGCGTATCGTCCAAATTCGGGCAGTATGATATTTTGCTGCTCGCTGCAAAATACAAAAAATATCATTTCATAAACCTAATTCGTTAATCATCAAAATTTCGAGAAAAGGAGTCGCGCGAATCAATGATCGAGGAAACTAAGGATCTGTGAATTTAGAAATCCGACAAAAACAAAGATCTGTGACGTGGAATTTGTACAACTATGCCAAGGATTTCTGTAGAATTGAGAATCTGCGGACTGATTATATATAAATACAAATTTCAAGTGTCCTCTGTAAGGATTTATAAATTAAAGGATTTACATTTGACATGTTAAGAAACTCAAGTAGACGTAAAAAAATCAAATTAATTCTGATTAAACGAAGAAAAAATACGTAATACTTTGATGTATTACGCGGAATGAAATTCGGGGAATCGGACATATGTATATTTGCAAGTAGGTAGGTGTATAGCTTTTAGTTTGGCTTAAATCCGATATGTCCTATAAATATATCGAAAACTACGGACTATATTTGAGAGGGAAACTAGACTCGATCGAATCGGCGACGAAGACTTACGGCCATGTCGTGGTGAGATTCTCTTACCGAATTTCATTGGCATAGTAATCGTGCGGTATTGCGCAAAGTACACCAGCCCCGTCACCAGTGTCGTTATCGCAAGCGCATGCCCCCCTATGATTCATACGCGCCGACAATATCTGAGCATCTCGTACGATCTGAAATTCGCACAGATAACGACCACATATAAATAAATAAATAAATAAATACAAAGTGCGAGCGAACCGGTCCAACAGCTTCCTTATCTTCGTGCGAGCAAACAAAAGATCGTGTAATTTACGCGCGCATCATCATCATCATCAACGAGTCGCGTGAGTTTATTTATCTCTCTTTCTTTCAAATAGATATCAATATCTCGTCAATTACATTCTTGATTTATCTAATCTTTTCTCTGTGTTTCAATTACTTTTGATTTTATAATTTAATTTCAAATCATTTCTGAAGATATCTCTTTCGAAAAGCCAATACGTATATACATATAAAATCCAATATCTTCTAATTTTAAATTGTTTACATTACCCATATAATTACAAGTTCTCTTTGATATATTTATCTAATAATTTTATCGCTACATTACATTATTATTAATGCACGTTTTCTGCGCGTGATTAGCTTCGCATCTTTATTGCTTATTTAAGAATTCTGTGCATCTGTATAACATATTGCATATTGTAATATATTTTTGAAAATTGTACGAAATTGACTCACCTTATGCGATCGCTTTCCATCAATGGCAACGATAAAACCAACGCCGCAAGCCTCTCGTTCGAGAGCAGGGTCGTAAAGACCTTGCTTAGGAGGCAAGTTCCACGGCTCGGCAGTCATCGTAATTTATCGTAATCTGAAAGACAAATATGCAACTAAATATTATATAGGTACATTTGCAAATGTATATAATTTAACATTTCAAACAGTAGTTTTTCAAATAAAAATATTTAAAACTGACCAATTATAGATTACGATTAAATGGAAGCCTCTCTAAAGTGCGTACATAGTCATTAATATTATCTATAGACGTGACTCACGGACAGGTGTCTGTTTAATCGTAATCCGTAGTTGATCAATTATAAACATTTTACCTCAAAACATTTTGAAATGAAAAATAACAAATTACTTATTTAATTTCTTTTTTCGACAACTTTCTTGCCATGGTATTTCGATTCGCGAATTTCAGGATATATATACTCTGTATATTTCATTAATGTTGTCACATGTAGAGCATAAACGTCGCAAAATTAATTAATTCTCGAAATCGGATTTGTGACTAATGCTCGAATTAATATTGTATGAAAAGGTACAAAGTTATATAATATTTATTGAATATAGTACGCGCAATCATAAATTATATTTAAACGGAAACAAAATCGTATCTCGCTTCGTTACTTGGTCGATTAGTTTATCGATATGATTGACACTGGATCGGATACATAGATACCACGCATGTGAAAAGCTATGAACTTAGGGACCAAGATTACGAAGGATGATTAGGAGAGATAACACAGGATATCGTATATATTGTCCGCGTTACGTAAACATACAATACGCGTAACAGATACATTACTTTGTTGTCGTCGTAACGAATCGCGATATGATGATTAGTACGTGTAAATAAAACGAAGAAAACGACGTTGCAAGGCGTTCACGTGCTTATCCCATGTATCGAACGTGTAATAGAATGATGACAGCGGTAGCCATTCTTCAAGTCTGCGTTAAATAATCTTATTCGCGATGAAATTCGAGATAGATGTTTACTTGTAATCATAATGCCTCCTGTAATAATTATACATACACAGAGAGAATTTTCTCTTATAATTTACCCTGCAATTATAGTAATCGTGGACAATATGGTATTGGAAGAATTACCACAATAAAAAATATTTAATAGGTACATAGTAAATTATAGTTGAGTATATTTTATATCTTATTGTGCTAGATATTTATATTTTTATTGTGGTAAATATTAATCAGAAAAACTCTTAGAGAATTCTTCCAATAGTATATTGTCGACGATTATCATGATTTTCAAGGTAAATTCTAACAAGAGAAAATTCTGTGTACAAAAAAATGAACAGGGCATCTCAAATTCACCACTTTTAAGTTAATCTTTTGACCCTACAAGATTCATGCCTCGAAATTTTCGTTATGAATTTGCTATTAACAGGAGACATTGATTTTGGAATGCTCTATATAATTATAAACAGAATTCAATTTTAGAGATGAATTATGAATTGTCTAAATAAGCTTTTTCGAAAGACACGTTTCCTCGTCGTCACGAAAATTTTCAAGATTAATATTTTGCATCATGTAAAAATAATTGGAATTCTAAATTATCGGAATTTAATCATTGTCTAAAAATTTGCATTCGTGCGCAATTTTTCATTTCAGGAAAGAACTCTGATTCCATTTATTAAAATCCGATTATTGGAAATTATTTAATTTTATTGACGTTAAGGTTTTATTCTGTCAAAATATTATGATCGTATATTTGCGATTCTATCGAATGAGTCTTATCAAGTAGAGAGATATAAATAGCTTCAATTTATAAACAGTAATGGAATCTTCAAAATTAACACGCAAAAAGAAATCAAGATAATTTCAACGACGACTAATCACATATCATTGAATATTTTTTAAGAATAAAACAACATATTTCTCTTATATCTTCACAATCATCTTTCTACATTGAAAGACGTGCAAAATAATTTTAAATCCGAGATGAGTGTTTCAATTTTACTTATATTGCAACTAAAAATCGATGACATAAGCTATACTTAATCTAATTTTTTACCGTCAGTTTCTGCGATAACTCATAGCGATTCGTTATAGTATCATGAAATATTTGAAACTGAAATATAAGAGCACAATTAATATTGGTAATTTCGGTGCAGTGCACAAATACAAATAACAATAGAACATTATGATTCCTCTATCGAACGAAGCCCATTCGGGCGTAAATTCGATTCGCGACGCTTTCGATAAAGTCGCGAAAGTCGCGTTCAATGCCAACACGTTGGAACGAGAATCAGACGTTATTAATGAATTCGCGCGCCGGTAAATTCGCGGAAAAATAAGTAAACACACGCGAAGGTTGACCACCTCTGTCGCGAGTGATACCCACGTGCGATAGGAGAAGAAGTGGAGGAAGCTAACGATCAATACGACATACAGGGTGTGTCGTATGAAAGCTTCGACGATGTGTGGCGGCACGTCGGAAGGATGCTGGACGTTTCCGAGGATCGATAAAATAACGGAGGCACTTTTCAATGTTGAGGGGAAAGGAGGGACTCTGGAAAGCTTGGGAATTTGGGAATGTGCCAAAAGTTTTGGAAATCGATGGTTAGACGGCCAGTACACTGAGAGAATTTTCTCGTAGAATTTACCCTAAAAATCATGGTAATCGTGGGACAATATGGTACTGGAAAAATTTTATAAGAGTTTCTCTAACTAATATTTATCACAATAGGATATAAAATATATTCGATTAATTTTACTATATACGTAGTAAAATTTACTATGTACATATTAATATTTTTATTGTGGTAAATATTAATCAGATAAATTCTTATAAGATTCTTCCAATATCGTATTGTCCCACAATTAACATGATTTTCAAGATAAATTTTAAGAGAAAATTCTTTCCACATAGATACCATTAGATGTCTATTTTCCGAACACCTCGTTAAAGATTGAAAATAGAGTTACGTCCGGAAACAAAAAATATATACATTATATATCACTCTCTCAACACGCTCGCATCAGGTGTACGAACAAAAAACTGAACGCTATTACATTATCTCTTCGAGATTAAGAGATAACAAGTTTATGTATAAAGTGTGCAGATTCTATATCTCGTGATATTCACATTGTAAATGTGTGTCAAATGCGCGATGACATAATAACGCGCAATGTTGAATGAAAATTACAATTATCATCTTTCGACAATGTGTTATACATTAATTATTTTCACCGTGATCAATTCGTTATTAAGATTGCGAATAATAATTGGATAGACCATGATAGATCTGTTAGGTCTGTTGAAAATGTTGCCTCTAGTTTGCGTGCGGTTTAGGCAGGATAAGGAATCCATGATGGTGCGGTGTTCCAAAATTATCCTCGAGCTATTCCGGCCATTTCGAGACCGGAGGAAACCGGAGGTATTTTCGCATATTCGTGTTGTTATCATTGGAATTACGTCATAGTTGCAAATGAGAATAGATTATACATACACGTGTGCGCCAGAAAAATGCAGTCGTATATACATATTCTTCTGCGTAGAAATATCGCACGTATGGTACAACGAAAATAATTCGCTGGGTTTCTCGACAGGTTTAAAGTCGTATAATTGAAATATTTTTTATATCTCCGTATATCTTTGAATTATCATAATTTCACTTGTACGAGGAAATCGTCAATTCATTATTGGAGCGTTTTAAATACCGCGTAATTAAATTTTTGCTTGTTAGATATATGAATGAAAATGATTCTTTCTGGTTATCTAAAAATCTGAAAATTTTTATGAAAACTTCTTTATTATTCATCTCAAAGTTTACAAAAAATTTAAAAAAAAAAGAGAAAATTTACTTTGCACATTCCGTCACGGTAGTGAAAATCTACTTAAAATTCATAAGACTGAGTATGTGTAATATATCCCTCGCATTTTAACCTGTTCGTTCTCGTTCAGAGAGACTCGTTCCTCGTCCCGAAGCAACGAGAAAGAGAGGAAAAGAAAAGAAAAAAAATCTACACGTGTGGGGAAGAACGTTATACGTCAGGACTGGATTTATACAGATATACTTATGAGAGCATTGAACACTTGGCAAGCAGCGCGCCTGTGTGCACAGGGTGTCTACAAAAATATGTATATATTGGTCACCCCAATTTAGCGTATAACAAACTCGAAATTATTTTTGGAATCGATTTTTCTTTAATTCTTTTGCTGAATTTTCCGGAAAAAATTTCCTCCGCGAATAAACTAAAACTTTGCAATTCTTCGTGTCTGTGGTAAAAATTAAGAGAAATTAGAAATAATTAACACAACATTTCATAACTTGATCTTACATTTATAATTAAAATTCTTTTTTGGATGGAGAAAAGGCACATATAAATACAAAAATCATTCTTGCGCAGTTAATAAAAATTAAAATCACATTTCCGTAATATCTGTAATTATGTTATCATCTTTTTTCTCACTTCGACCTTTGATAAATCTTTTAAAAATAGAAGAATGTTTCTCAAACATCTTATTTATGTTCAGGATATACGTCCACCCTGAGATGCCCTTGAAAACTCGAGAAAACTAATCATATATTTCGATTGAATCAATTCTTGGCGAGATGTTTCCCCCGATTTGTTAAGAGAGAAAAGCTGAAACGTGACATTTTTGTCGGCGTTTCGTGAACCGGCGCGTGCGCGCATTTTCCTCGACGTCGACGTGGCGTGGAAGTTCGTCCTTACCGGAAAATCAAACGCACCGATAGGCCGTAGTCCGAGAACTGCACGTGTCTCCTTAGCGGCGATTAGCACTGCCAGATGAAAAAGACAGTCTGCACGCAATTTAGCCAAATCGATTGTCCAATCGCTGCCTTCTCTGTAAAACGAGTTCTGCAAAATGTTTCTCACACGAGTACCTCCGCGATATATATCTTGACACACCGTTTCGTCTGTTTAATTTCGAAGCAACACCTCGATCCGATCCCGCCTGAAAAAGATCGGCTGGCGAGAGGACGCGTCCTGCGACTTTTCTCTATCGCTTCTCTCGGATATATATATATATATATATATATATAATTTCGATTCGATATAGAACGAGAAAGACGGCACGTATACACACGAGTCGCGAGTCGGACGGGAACTGAGAGACGGCGGCGGCGGCACTCGGATGTCGCTAAAAACCTAAAAGCTCCTCCACACCCCTCCATTCTCCGTCTCTCTCGTTCCCCTTCTCAGACGCGTCTGTCGCTCGCATCCCCTCTTTTATCTCCTCCGCTGCGCTCCGCTTTGTCTCTCTCGACCCTGCGCCACGCCGCGTTCCGACGCGTCTCGGTCTCGGAGTCCGAGTCGCAACCGAAGCACGTTTTTGCAAAGCGTACACGTCTGTCGCGCGAAGACGTCTGCCCCTCCCTCTTTTCCGCGAGTGACTTTATTATTCTTTCGAGTGTGTTTCTAAACTATATTGCGCACAATACGCGTCTTCAACCATGACTAATCCTTGCAAAACGGACAGCGCTAATTGCGCTAATCGGAGCTAAAATTCAAGTCGTTTCTTCGGTACAAGGTATATTACATCTTTCGAGTCGCGAATTCGAATCTGAAGCATGCCAATGAAGTTTTAAATGGTGTAGGGTTGCTTTGGGGAATAAATATTATATATCTGATGAATTTTCAAAGCTTTTTCTTCCGCTTTAAATTTTATAAGAAATTGATATTGTTTTGTTTATCACATAACAATGAAGCGCGTGATGTTTTAGCCAGAGCTAAATCTGCACGCGTATATGAATGTTCTTTTATATTTTTACAATTTACAGGGATTATATAAATGAGAATAATCGAAAATTACGCTTTTAAAAAAAATTGTCTGCATCCTTTTTATTAGAACGCAAACAATTATTATATAACTGTAATAATTTGTAATTCTAATATTCGTAAAATACTATTTACTACCCTTACTAGTTCGCGACTTTTACGTCTTATTTCCAGTCGTCTTTAATCAATTTAGGGTATAGAATAATTAGATATAATATGCATATATCGAGAGTATTACGTAACGTTTTGTACATACTATTACGAGCGTTTGATCAATAAAATTCCAATGAACGTAACGTGGATGCCGTTATATACTCGGGTAATGAAGGAAATAAGGAGACGATGCTCAATAAGTTTGAGTTAACATTTGACGCAAGTGTTACATGCTGTAAAATCAAAGATAAATAAGACTTGTTTGAGTTGTCGACGAGACTTCAGACACTGTAAAAAAAATATGTAAAATTACATAAATAATAAATGTAAAATTACATGATAAATAATGAAAAGGTAAACATTTCTATTATTTGTCGTGTAATTTTACACTTATTATTTATGTAATTTTACATATTTTTGTGTAATATATTACATATTTTTTTACAGTGAGTCTATCGATAAATACGACGTGTTTGTTCGCTTAAAAATTGTTTCAAGGTTTTCGTTTGTATTCTAATGCAGCGTTACAGCCTGCATATATATATATATAACAAATTTAGATTAAAGCTAACTGTGTTTTCTTGACGTGTTCGTCGTCTAGTCGATCGTTGAATGACGATCGTCAATCGAGAACCGTATGTCGTGTCTTCCATTCTTAACAGGCGTGAATTACGAAATATCACTTGGCTTGGGAATCTCCTTGCACTCGTTCGACGAATGCTGCTGATCTTGCAAATCTGAATTTTTCAGATTATAATAACTGCGATTAAAGATATTGCATTTAATGTATGAAAAGAGTCACGTTTGTGTAGACGTATATATATAGGGCAATAAATGCGTTTAATTTGCAATATTATTTCAAAAACTATTTTCGAGACATTAGATTTTATGGACGTTTAAAAAAAAAAGATAACGATGTGTGAATTGTTTAATTAAATTTCGAGAAATAATAAATATTTATCAACTGATTTTAGACATAAACTTTGGCAAAATTTAATTTGAGATATAATGAGATACTTGACACTATAATAAAACTTGAAAAAGAAATTCGAAAAAATTATATAAGGTTCGAAAAGTTATTCTATTTTTAATTGAAGAATATCATTCGTAATCAAATTATTTGCCCATTATTAAAAACATATACAACATATAAAAATACATATAAATAAGAAATGCCGTAAATAATTTTAAACTTGTAACAAGTGTTAAAATAATGTTTCAGAAACCTGTGTGTTTACTAATGAAAGAATATAAATAATGTATAATCTATGTTGGCGGTAATAATGAATGAGCATTATTCATTCATTTTGCGATTATTCGATGATTAAATCGTTCACATTTATTTCGCGATACTCGACTATAAAATGTGATTAAACCTGGTTAATAATAACAAGGTTATTAAGTTATCTGAGTCATGAGAGAATTATATTTCTCGTGTAGAGCTCTCGCATTTGGCATCTATATAATGCAGCACATGTCTTAAATTATGCGTATATGATGATGACTTTGTCTACGATTTTCAATGTAATGGCGATAAATTCTCGAGACCTTATATACATTTCCCTACATCAATACAATTAGTTTGTCGTTTTGCCAAATCGATCATTGAATCTAATTTTTTTTCGATTTTCGACCTTTGATATTCAAACGTCGAATAATTTATATTTTTCTGGAAAATATCGAGTGCCCTATTTCTGTAGGATATCGTTGCGCGTTATTCGAAAAATGCAATCAGCTTCGTCATGCGGTTTGACGCAAGACGTATACGCGAACTTCGCGCGATCGATAATGCGATTTAACGGAGACGAGGATGAAGAGGCGTATAGGAAACGAAACGAAAGAGAGAGAAAGAGAAACGCGACGCGGATCGTTAGATTCTACTGCGTAACTGACTTGTTAACGTTTGCGATTGAAAAAAAAAGAAAAAGAAATTATCGGACGACTAAATAAGTAAGATTGTGGAAATGCGTAAGCGTATCGTTAGATAACGAATACAGTTAAAACGAGCGATTACTCTATATTTAGAGCTACTTTGCGCGCATACAACGACAAGAAAACTGCAGAGGCAGAGAAAGATAGCACGTGCTGCAAAAATGCTGCACGTGCTATCAATTTCTTTTTTCATAAATAAGGACAAGTTGCTCTATAAAACATGTTGACTAGACTTCTCGTAGAATAGACGAGAAAGAAAATGCATAACTATTAGACGGATGTGTATGATGTCTTGCAAAAGGATGCCTGTTAAACTATATATTTTTTTTTTGCAAATTTATCGTTCATCGACAAGATCCGATAAATGATAGATTTGCATTACTTGTCCGAAATATACGAAATCGCGATCATAACATATTTGATATTTTACTCCGATACTTCAAGAATTATATGAAAAATCTAGAACGCAGATTGTGAAATGATTAAATTTCAGTTGCAGTTTAATTTTTTTCATTTTTATCTTTTATCTCTTCTATAAATTATGATAATTTTATTATCGCTAATTTTTAATCTCAATTAATTATTGGCACAGCACTTTCTCATATATCTTAATAGGTAGAATAATGTGGAAAAATTTAACCCCTTTTTATGTATAAAAGTTTTGACGAAATTTAATTATTTCTTGCTCGTTGTAGAAAAATTAATTAAAAACCGTGGGAATTTATTTATCAACCATATCTTTGCATAAAAAAATAAAATAAAATAAAATAACATTGAGCTTGTAGAAGAAAATCTTGAAATTTACCATGGACATGTCACAATCTATAATAGAGAAAAAAATGATATCGCGCTGCGTAGTATAAAGTTGTTATTAGTTCGTTATTGAAAAGAGAGAAAAGAGAGAAGAGAAGTCTCTTCGGCTTTACGAAAGAAGAGACCCCCCGCATGGTTTCGGGATAATTGAAATATATATATCGAGATAATTGACGCGGAGAGAGGAAAATAGCCGTATAGGACAAATGAAACTGCGTTTGACGTCAGAGATGTCAGGCATCTTGAATTACACACAAAAAGTGGTGTGTCACTTGGTCGCAAAGTTGCGCAATGCAAATAAGCAATGCGTATGGTAATAAGATTTACGCAACCCCGGTACTTGAGCTTTTTTTTTCTTCCGGCGCCAGCCGAAGCTCTTTGCTCTCATAACTTGACTAAAGATGACCGTGAACGAGGGAAAATGAAAACGAAGCACATTTTAATCATTTCTTTGTGCATACGTATGTAAGCGCGATATTATGCGCGAATGAAAAAATAAAAAAAGGAAAGGAGATATAGAGCGCATATATAATGTATATATCATGCGAGGGAAGACATCAACTTCCGCGAGAATCACGCTGCATGCGATCAATCGTATATACAAGTAGTCGAAACATTCTTATCTCGGAGCGAGAGGAGAGCCATTATCGTATATCTTCAAGGTCGACTGGCTATCAATCGGCAGAGTCTGGGTATCCGGGAGGAGAGAAAGATTCCGCGTGTTATCTCCCGCGAGTTAAGATCGCGTCGCGATTCGCATTTCCGTTATCGGAAACACAGAAACACACGGCGACCGCATGATTCGCACGACGTCTTTGATAACAAAAATCCCGTACATGGGTGATTGCACAAGAAACGACGTAATAACAACCTGGGAGAACATTTTTTATGTATAATTTTATATAAATAGTTGTACATATAATCGTAGAATTATATTTTGTGATATATGTCCATTTTTATACATAATCATATTTTATATATAAATTATAAGGATTCATATACAATAATCATGTCAAATTATATATGAAACATATTGTATATTTATATATACGAAGAAATACTTATATATATTATATAAATAAATTTATATAATTATATATTAAAAAAAACACTTTTATCTAGTTATATGTATGAACATATTTCATATATAATTGTGCGATTATATTATATATAATTTTATTTATTTCTATATAAAAAATTTTTCCCGGGAATGTAAGGAAGAAAAATGGTTAGATTACAAAGACTAATGATTTAATAATCATGAAAATGATTCAACATTAAGAATATAATTGAAGGTGGCAAGGATCGAAAAGCGATCCTTTATATTATATATTTATTTGCAGATAAGCTATATCACAGCTATATCGCAATAATAACACTATAGCTCGCTAACGCGTAAGCATTCCGCTTTCGATATCGGACACCAGAAACGGATAGGTAGTCTCGGGTAACTGCGATAGACTCTGATGTTCCGCAAATTAATCGCATTGTCAAAGGTTTACGAATGCTTTGCTAGCATTCCTATGGAGCAAAAACATTCCTGCGAGATGATCGATAACTCCATCGACGATTTCGCTCCGCAGTTCTACCTGTTTTCGTATGTACAACGTTCTTTCGTATAATTATCCATACATCTTATATAATTATGTTAATATGCGAAATATGTAAAATGCCTCTAAAGAATTCCTTTAATGTGCCGTATTAATTAACGAGCGTGTAAAATGTCGAAGTTGCAGAAGCTAGGAAGAAGAAAAAAAAACGGAACGGATCGTAAATTGAACGCAATTTGTGATGACATTGTGTCCAAAGATGCGGACAAAGTTAGACAAAATATGAGGATTATATTTTATACATTTAAGAATGTCAAAATTTACGTTAACGTTGTACATTTTATGCGAGAATATAAATATATGAACGAAAAAACGTAAGGTACGCTTTCGTACGTAAGGAAATCGCAAAGTTATTGATTACTTCACATAATTCGCGTTTCTTATTTTTTTACGAAGCGTTTCCGGATTCCCTACTATAGAGACGCTGAGAAATATGATCTGATTAATATGCATATACCGCTATTAATAAAATTTTCATGCGGCTAGACGTGCGGTCGGGTTGGTAAGATTTAAAGGAGAGCGAACGATACGAAACGCGAAATGTGAAGCGCGGATCGATATTGCGGAATAAAGCGAGCAAATCGGCCGATGAACTGGCCCGTGTGTTCTATCGGAAATAAGAAATCAGTTTAATTCATTAGAGAATGTTAATTCAATTATAGTAAACATTTAACTAGCAAAGATGGACAATCGATCATTTCTCACAACATTTTTATTCAACTTTTCATCTTTATATTTTACGTTGAATTAATTATTATAATTGAGAGCTATAATAATTATAAAATAATCATAAAGACGAAACAGTTTAATAAAATTAATTTCAAGCTACTCAAACTTTTCACCGACTCGATTAAGTCTGATTAATTTTAATCATATCGCGCCTAAAAAAATAACTACGTACTTTATATATATATTGATTATAGTTTAGCCTACTTTAGTTTATGACTAATTCTTGAGAAAATAGTCACATATAGTGAGTTTTGGCTGAATGTAGACCAATATTATATTTACTAATCACGTTGTCTCTTCTAATTTTCACGGTTAGTCGACCTGAAAATAACCAGAATAATTTCAACTATAGGCATAAACTAGTTATCATTTACTCATCCGTTTACTGACATGACTAAATTCTAGCTAATTTTCCAGAAAATGCTTTTTTAACATGTACGCAGCGTCATTTATTATAAAATAAAATTATTCATGCACTGATTGCATATCGAAATGTTTGCGGCTTATCTAAACAGATTTTTTTTCAACGAATCGTAAACTCAGCTGCCGTCCAGTAAATTCAAAATAGTAAAAAATAGATAGTTGAGTTTTTTTCTATTCGAATAATTCTTATCTCTAATTGCACATAAATGAGCTGGCAAAGATTTGATAATCCCCTCCTCTCATTCGTGTGTAACTTATCAGTGAAACTGATACAGTTGCACTCTATTGCACGTTTCGTTCATTCGCTTGTGGAATGAGAATTTGTCTTTGTATGAAAGTAGATAACTTGCAAATAGATAATTCACTCGGTTGTTGGTCTTGCAATATATAGACACTTACGATATACATATACATAGATAAATTATTCTTGATGCGCGCGTTCCTTTCTTCGTACGATCAATTGTCCAAAGATTAGGATTTTTTGATTTTTATCTCGTAAATTTTATGAAGCATTGTAAAGAACAATTTGCAAATCATTCTCTGACTTATCAGTTTCATTTTTTCGGTTTTTAATTGACGTGATCACGGTAAAATTACAATCAACATTATTATAAGTAATAATTATATATTTTTATATATTAAAGAAAACTTTTTCTGTTGTAAAAATTGCAAATTCAGTTGCGTGAAATTAGTTGAGTAAAAATTTCCTCATATCGCATGACACAAATAAATATGTAAATATGACGTTTCATGCCAATCTAGATTCTCTAGAAAAATGGTATTAATCTTTAATAACGACAATATATGCAGGAAATCATATCTGTATATCAAATGTCAAATGTCAAGCTTTACCCGCTCTTGCGTCATAGATACCAAATCTTATATATTATAACAAATATATTCTCTAGTTTTTTTCATCATATCCATAAATTAAAAAAAAAACTTGTTTTTATTTTCTGCATTTCAAATTCCGCGTATCATTTTGACTCTTGCGAGTATATCTTATCATTATTAAAATCTCCTGATCCTATTTTATGGCCTATTATGAGCATGATGAATATTATGCAATGAAATTTACTCGTCATATAATATCTTCCTTGATATTCACAAGAATTAAGGTCGAAAAAAGCTCTCGAGGGAAACCTGCACTTGTCCGAAATTTATTCACCTCCGGTTCCTTTTTTTTCATTTTCGAATAAGACGCTAAAATATACGCGATTCGCTAGCAGAATAAGGACGTCCCGGGATTTACCTGCGTCGTCAAGGATCGATTAGGAACGTACTCCGCTGTGGCTCGACGCCGGGCCGGGCGGCGCGCTTCCGATTCCGCTCTCCGCTTCCGGTTGTCGGCGAAACGCAGAAATCCTCCTGAAATCGAGAGCAGGCGACGTTCGCTCTGCCGGTGGCTTTCTTTCGCTGCCTCGGATTGAAAATCGGTCGTACCGGCTTGATCGCCGAGGAACGTGACGTGCGACGTGCGCTCCTCTCGGTAACCTCCTCGTAACTGGCGGATTTTCACTATGACGACGAGACCGCGGACAATCAGTGACGTAACTACCCAGAGTCGTGCGGGGGCGTTTTCGAGCGCGTCCGCCTTTTTCCGCCCTCTTAGCGACGCAATTGTGATTCCGATAAAGCAAGGCATATTTTAGATCCTGAAATGCTTCCTCGATAAAAGTATCACGAAAGTAATAATTTTTTTTATCGCAAACGATATAAATCAAACAATTTTCTTTTTCGCAAAAGTTTTTACAAATTTCAATTGATAATCATAAATGATTAAATGAAGCATAAAGGGGCATTTATTGGGTATAATTCTGTGATATGCTTTTACATAAAATAGAAATAAAAGAATGTTTATATTTTGTATATTTTTTATTGCGTTTTCTACTCATCCACTTTTGGAATGAAGAGTCGTCGTAGCGACTTTTAAATGCAACAGAGTTGACTCTCTGATCTGCGTACGCAGTGAGTTATCATTGGTCGTTCAAGTTGTCCACAAACATCTGCGTTATATGAAAACGCGGCATTACATATATATATAATATAATTACATATAGAGATAATGTCTAATTTATTTCCACTTATTGATACGTAAAAAATTGTCTAAAAAATTTCCTAAATATTTTTATGAACAGAACTTTTTGGATAATTAATTTCCTTTCAAACCAAGTTAGCATATCATTGCACATTTTTTCAAATTTGAACAATGAAATTTTATAGTTTTCGACGTGTTCTATAGTTCTGTAACATAGTTGCGACCATAGGCTGTCACTAAATATATATTTAACCACAAAAAACTTGAATTTTCGAATATATGATAAGCGTTGACGTTTTTTCATATTTTGAAGTCTGCTTAAAAATATTTAACATATAATTAATTATTAATAAAGCATTTTAATAATTATTTAAGTTATGAATTATATTAAATTATCTAATTTTAAAGTTATTTATCTATATAAAGAGTCTTGCTTTAGTATTATTATTTAATTTGTATTAATAATATATGTATTATTTAAAGATTCATATTTTTTAACAGTTATTAGAGCTGATTTCTGTCGAAAGATTAATAGAGTTCAATTTTTAATAATTTTTTAAATATAAAAGTAATGAATAGCGCGCACTTGTGTTGTTCTAGTATAAAAAAATATATAATTTTTAAAAATACAAAAGAATCGTAATATTGACAATAAAGATACGTGAAATTGCATGAGACGAAGTCGCAATAAAAGATCCAAAAATAAAGATCTTAAAAAATACGAAAAAAGGTTCTCGAAATTGAAAAAGAAATCCGCAGGGTTGGGTAAATTAATGATTTTTTTCAACTAAGTTAAGTTAAAGTTAATTGCTTATAAAATTAATTTAATTGAGTTAAAAATTGCATGAACAAAAAATTAACTCAATTATAAGCTTAAGTTAAGATTAAATTAACTGAAGTTAAATCAAAAGTTAATTTTTTAAAAACATTTATATTAAATTAGAATTTTGTTTGTTAATTCTTTTAAAATTTATAATAATAAACAACAAAAGAAATTTTGATTTTTATATAGAAATATATTTTTTGGTAATTACAATTGATGACAAATGAACATAAAAATTAACAATACTTTATTTTAAAAACAATACGCGTTTATAATTTATAAAAGAACAATAATGGTATTCAGATATAAAAGAAATTTAACTTGGGAATACAATTTAAATTAACTAAGCTAAGTTAAAAGTTATTATCTTTTTAATTTTTTTCAACTTTTAACCATTTAACCAGTTATTACCAACCTTGGAAAAAAGTCCAAATATATCATTGTGAAGTTATCTGATTCTTTCGATGAAAATTGTAGGAAAAAGGAAACCGACTAGATACGGGAATGTAACGGCGCGGCGCATGCGCCAGAAGCTGGACGAGCTGCCTTATCAACCGAGGTGACATTCCTTGGCTTGTCTTGGCGGAGTCGTCGCGCAAAGATGCCGGGAAACACCCTGCGGACGGACGACCGTCGTCGCGTGTGATCGTGTGATCGTGTGAATCTCGCGAGTGGATTCTGAAGCTGGATTTCCAAGGATTGCCGCGGAAGCACTCGAGAAGCCTAAATTGGTGAACCGGTAAGTCGAGCATCGATCAGCGTATTTTGACATAAGCGGACTGCGTGTTTCCTATCGCGAGCGGCAGGAAACTGTCAATATCAATCAGATGCACTTATTGCGAAAGCAATGCTGCGAATCGAACAATTTGCTGGCTCTTCGTGCTCTTTGTGTCGATTGCGTTAATGAGTTCGATGATGATAGGCAGTAACGTGCGAAAACGAATAATACTGAAAAGAAGGAATTGAATAATGAAAAGGTTGAGGGTCGAACGAGGGTGATCTCGTAAGAAATAGAGAAGAGAAGAAAGAGAGATGGAGAAATTTGGAGAACGTATCAAGATTTTTTGACACTATCACTAATGAACGAATTTCAATCACATATTAAAACTGTTATTCATTTTATATTTTTTTTCTCTAATAGCCGCATATGTGATATCTAATAATATAATGCAATTTTAAGAAAACGATTTTTCACGATAGGTATTATTAAACTAGAAAAATTAATAATATATATACATTATATGTATATAACTGTTTTAAGATTTTAGAATAGAGATATTCTAAATACAAGTTTTTAACATGATATACATGTTTTATAAGTTAATAGATTTAACAATAATCTTTCCAATTGATCAAAAATTTACTTGTTTGACAGGTATTTTAAACAGTACATAAAACAAAATTGCGAATAAGTGGAGAAGTAAATGTATCCATAATTTATGAAACATAATTTAATTAAAGACAATTACATATTACACAAATTATAATTTACGTAACAGACAATGTTGATGATTTATATCTCCTTAGTCGTTTCTCTTTAGAGATCATAAATTATTATACGGTGCTGTTGTGTATATTTCGAATGATTAGTACACATGAATTCCATATATTCATGAATTCGCTGATACTTGACTTCATGAATTCTATAAGATCTGTTGAACTTTGTATTTGCATATTCTTGATGGATTATAGATATTTGATATTTTAATTTTTTTTATAATAATAATAGTTTTAATATTAAGAAACAATGGATTTAGATTTTTACATCTTTAGACTATTTGACAATTTTGATGTTTACAAGTCCATAAAATTTAGTTTTTTTTAAAATAAAAACTCTAGACAAAACTCTAAACAAAATTTCTATGAATTAAACGTTCTTAAAGAAATAACTAGAAAAATATTTCATTTTACATAATTATATAAATTATTCGAAGGTTTGCAATATTGTCTATATATTATTCAATATTTATTGTGAAATATATACTTTTGATAATGTAATTATAAATATCTTATTTTATTTCTATTTGAATAACTTTCCTATTAAATATTGTACGATAATTGTGTGATATTTTTAATTTTATTAATAATAATAATTAGGATCTAATGAAGCAATATTTGTTAAATGCCATTGTAGAGCTATTATTATTATAAAAGAATTCATTTATTACAATGATGGATTAATTGTTGTACTAGTAAATCAAGCATAGAAATTACGGATTCGTGCATTTTTTATTGTTAATCATATGCAATTTTTATTTCATTTTTAAAAATGCAAATTTGAAATATCAAACATTTTTAAAATATCGAAAAATATCGGGCATTTAATCTACTTTACTATTATTTTGAAAAAAAAAATTATTTTTTTCAATCACATAACCGCACGCTTCGTTCTCGCTTTTCACTCTCAACAGAACGAACATTTTGACATTTACGATTAATATTTCTCTTTGTGGAAAATGCCGCGTTCGTGTTATTTGTACAATATATATATATATATATATATATATATATATATATATATATATATATGTATATATATATATATAAAAATATACAATCACACTTGTATATCTCATTATTGTTTTTCAGTTATTGACGTCAGCAAAGATAGAGAACATCACAATTTTGACATCACTTCGGTTGAAGGACAACGAATTTCAACTCTCTTTTCCTCTTTCTCTTTCTCTCTCCATCTCTCTTTAAGAGACGTCATGAGTGACGTCAAACATTTGGAAAATCGATTAAGTCTGTATAGGCTCGTCCCAATTTTCGTCCGGATGAAAGCTTCTTAGCAAAAACACGTGAGATTTTCAATTTCAGGATAAAGAGAATAATGGGATTTACCTTCTCATCTATTTTTGTACACGATATGTCTCAAAATCAACAGACATTCTTTTAATAGCAGATTCTCTGACCAATTTGGAGGTGATTTTTCTTTAAGAAAAATATCGGAGCATCAATAATTTCCGCTTTATATATATATGTATATAATCGATTGAAAACAACAAATTTTTATAAACTTAACTTTGTGAAGCTAAAAGATTAACATTCTACAATTAATTTCAAATAAAATTTATTTTAATAGAATGTTAATTTGAAGCTCTTATAGTTGGAAAACATGCGTAGTAAAAAAATTGGAAATTTGCAAAAAATAATCTTTCTCTATTTTTTATTAGAAAAAATCAATTCCACAATTGGGCAAAAAATCTGCTATTTTCAAAAGATGTCTGATATATTTGGGGATATTTTATACATCTGCATATATATGTCTTGATATGCTCTGTGTTTTTTAGTATAAAAAATATGGAAAAAATACGGATAATTAAATGATATAAACATTTTGCGCGCAAAAATCTTTAGTCGATGATAATTTAAAATATTTACGGAAAGCTTTAGCGAAAAAAAGAAAGCCATATAGCAGAAAAAGCGTTAATTGAATAATTTTACTTACGCAGATGGTCTTAATTACGCGTTGGAATAAGCTCGTTACACTTTTATGTATTGTGGGGCGGAAATATGCTTCGCATGCACATCGCGATCTCTCGGAGTCTCGCACGTCAGGTGATGCAATTAGGCGCGCAAAGGTGAACGGTGAAGTATGATGAACCGCATCACATATGTCCGCTATTAATTACGGTCGCCGATAATTGCAGATTGCTGATCGAAGTGAGGTTTACCTTATTCCGACAGTAGCTACCGTGTTCGTTTCTCCGAAGCGACAGCTTATTGACGCTCGAAATAAATATGCGACGGAAATGAATGTACATGAAATGTCAAATGGAGGATCATGAATTTTGCATTGCCGCAAATTTTCTTCCACATTTTCGTAAATTCTTCATTTTACAAACGTTTATTTTTCTATTTTTTATTTCGACAAATTTTTCATTTTTGCAATTTTTATTTTATACTGTTATAATTATTTGATTATTATATAGTTGGAATTTTTCTTCTATACCTTCAAAGTTAAGAGCTTTTCATTCTCGCAGAAACTTTCAGAATCTATGATATTGTCTCGACGAATTTTATGATTTTCACGCATTCTTGAATCCGCGCATCTACGATTTAGTCAATAGTTTTCAATTTAGTCCATTAAATTCTTGTTTCTATATAGGATATAGTAACTATATAATATACGCGTACTTTTAATATGTACAAGTTTCTTGTAAAAAATATTAAATCTCTTTTTTAACAAAGTTATTAAGATATAGGTATATATATATTTTTTAAATCAATTGAAGTATGAATAAATAGCAAAATCCTAGAAATGGATTTATATTAATAGAATTTTAATTTAAAACATTTTTTCTCGTCTCACGATATTCAACAATAAAATGTTTAAAATGAGGAAAAATACGATCATTAAATTTTGGTGGAAAAATACTTTTAGTTTTCAATATATAAAAGAAAAAATATCGCTCTATTTACCAACTGTGTCCAAACGCTCTATATATATTCGATTCCAGGGGAAAAAGGTTTCAACCAAAACTAAAATATACAAGGCTTTAGTAAAAGTTTCTTTATAAGAAACGTATTTTTCTATTATACTAAGCAGTAAAAGTCATTTTCCGGAAGATTCTAACAAATAGAAGCAACATATATGTATATATATATACTTATGTTTTTCGTGCGCTATACGGAATCGTAACGTACGCTTGAAACATTTATTCTGCGATTTGTTCATTTTTTATTCCTTTATCACAGATACAAACGTCCTCCGGGACGGCGAAGATGCCCGGGCATCTTTGCGTTACACTCGAGGGTCTTCCAGAAAGAATCAGAAGTACATACAGAGTTTAATATAGAGAGAAGAAAAACGAGAGAGATTAACGCAAAGTCTCTCTGGCGTGTCAAGTTTTTCCAAGGACACGGAGGTCGAAACTGATTTGTAAGTTGCAAATGACACAAGGTGTATGGATCTTTTATGCGCCGTACACATCGCACACATTTCGGCCGGATGTCGGGCTTCGGGGTCACCGAGGAGAGGACGGGTGTCTATCCTCGGAGGGTGGAAAGGAGACTTCGACCCGCCCTTTCGAAATGTCAAAGGTTACCGCGCAAGTCACCGCGACGTATCCCTGTTTCCCAGGAAGCAATCCCGTGCGAATCCGACGGTGTTGTTTTTGCTCGTTCGCTGACGATAATTCGCCATCATATATCCGCGAGAGACCGAAACAAAAATCTTACGTCCGTATGTGTACCAAATCTTCAGCGTCGCGATCGATCGTGTACGCACGCACCTTTAGATTCATTTATCAATGAAATGTCTAATAAACGTGACGCAGAAATGCATAATTCATGAGAAAAATTTCCATTTGAAAATCAAGTTTACAATAAAGTTCAGTCGTTGATCGTAAATCCGTGTACTGTATATACATATGTATATACAGTATCCTCCAAAAGTTTGGAAACATCTTACATTTTACAGTTAAAGAATTGCATGGCAGCGATCTGTTACAAATAAAACTGTCATTTAAATATTTTATGTTTATTTTATGATTTATTTATATAAAAATCTGCACAGATCTGTCAAAAGGATCCTCTTAACTTAAAAAAAATTCTCTAAAGAAATATTCTTTAATTAGATATTCGTAACGTGCAAGAATATAAATGGCAAGAATATTAATGGAATGTTTTTTATCGGTATATTATTTGAAATATTATTAATTGTGATAACAAAAAACAGTCTTATAAATGGACATTTGTTATTTATTGTATACAGTACTCTTCACAAGTTTAGAA